ACTGCATCTCATTCATTGCCATGACGGGAACGGCAGATGGGAGCGGTATACTCTGTTGTATCGGCGTGTAGCTCACAGGGAGGTCATGCTGCATGTAGAACGCCGCGCCGAAGGTCCCGCTCGTCGCCACAGGCAGTATACTCTGGTATGCAGATGGCGATTCTGTAAAAGCTGCGTCTTCACGGGGATGCGTATGCATTTGCGGATGCGCCACGATGGCCGGATGATGGCGGTGTAGATGGTTCGCTAGCGTTTCTCTGCGGGAGTAGCTGCCCACGAAAACCCCAGTGGGTATAATTTAGTCTTCACTCTTCATCCTGCCGTAACGGGAGGTGCGTTGTACCTCTTGTGACACGTTCCCTCGGGACACTTGTACAGTTTCGTCCCTGTGTGGGTGCGCCGATGGCGGGCTAGACTCGAGGACTGGGAGGATTAGTACGTGAGCGTGAGCGTGATGTGGGTAGAGTAGCACATACGTCTGAGAAGGCCTTCTCGCAACGGGGAAAGTCGCAGACGTGTGGGCGTTCGCCGGTGTGCGTGCGGAAGTGGACGGTTAGCGCGCTGCGCTGGACGAAGCTCTTGTTGCAGCCGTTGACGGTGCAGTGGTACGGCCGCTCGTTGGTGTGGATGCGGTGATGTCGGCAGAGGTCGGACTTGCGATTGAAGGACTGTGAGGTTTCCTGTGAGTTTTAACTTGCGTGGCTGGAGAGAGGGTGGCGTTGACCTTTCCACAGTGCGCCCAATGGCACTTGTACTTCCTTAAGATAGGCACGAGCATCATCGATGTCATTTCCATGGTACAGAACTGGCTGATCGGACACGAATCCCTGAGTGGCGGGGGCAAATCAATGTTTAATAATGATCAGAGCAGGGAAAGTCGTGGACTTGTAACAATACAGGGGACATCTTTCGGTCAGTGGGACGCCCTTGGTACTTTTACTTGTCAACGGGACGATCGGCGGGAGGATCTGATCGAACAGCCACAGCTTCGTATCTGTGGCATGGATGATCACGCCAGGGTATTTTGCAGTGCGCAAAGCAAGGCTACAGGAATAGGGGTATTCCCGAGATTTCCATAAGCGTGCGGTATCTCATCGCAAGAATGGCCCGCTGAAGCCAGCCACACCGGTATGGTGGCGACTGAAACAGGGGCCAATGGAAGCCGGTGCAATTGCAGCCAAAAACAGTCCTTCGTTGATCGGCTGCAGAGCGGCAGATGCATGATTGCCGGTATGTTTACAAGGCCTGGCGCTTCAGCCACAGCTGGACCCTGTATGTTTGGCGAGACATCAGGGACTACGTCTATATCCTGTCAATTCGGCCGCTGATGATCCATGTGACACACAAACCCGGAGATTGACTCTAATGCATCTCTACTCTGCCACAGACCTCCTGTAGGTATCTAGTCCGCAGCCATTAGTCTGCCTTCAGTTTGATATCTCGGCCGCTGTGGATTTCTCCTCCCATTCTCCACGGAGGTTCAGAATAGTACAAAGAACCAAAGAAGAACTCCCTCTGTTGACTTCACTTTTGGATCAGTCCATCAGGCGGCGCGGCGATCTATCACGCAAGGAGCTCATGTTATCCCAGTGGCGCAACCAGCGCAATCACATCGAATTCGGAGCCGCCTAGAGTGGGACTAACTTATGAGAACCGGCTGATTGACGCAGAACAATAATCAATCTTGAACAGTTAGTCGAGTCTACTCATGCTAGGTCATGCAGCTTGACTTATCTGGATATCTGGAGACATTAAGCGAGCCCAGGCTTCGGACAAGTCCATAGTGAAGCGGAAGGTACTGCATTATGATTGGGGGCGCTGGATGAACTTGTAAATGTCGATCTTAGAATCTGTCAGCTCTAGCCCGATCTCTAAGATCCACACAGGGTTCTCCTCACGCGCCTCTTCCAATTATGGTATTTGTGTGTACCACCCTACAAAGCTTGATGGATGGATCCTTCAAGGCAAGAAAATTTCCCGGTATTATGGAAGGATGTCTCAGTCTGAGTCTCTCGTGGGATTAAATTGCCGACATTCTTCGGCATAGGGAGTTGCAGTCTGTTATTCTCTTTGTTAGTGGCCTCGAGGGTATCACTAGTGATCATCAGAGAGTGTTGACGAGTATAGCCATCCATGGTTCAGGATGTTACCACATCTTCACTCCAAGCAAGATTTCATAAAAAGGATGGACAACAGTCGTCAATGCAGCCCTGTCGATTTGGGAAATGGTTCCGAGACTAATACATAGTGGCCGTATCTGGAATGAGATACATAAACAAACCCTGGATTGGCCACAAAGAAGACACATGATCGTCGAAACTGAGATTATCTCCCGCCAAAATACACAGCAAGCTCACCGACAGATCAAACAAATAGTGCACCAATGCAGCCGTGGACTAATACTATCTATCCTTTCCCGAACGGCTGTGATCCCAGCTATCTCACATTAGCCAGACATCAAGGGCAACATTACGTTACAAAAACAGGTCATTGAAGGGCTCGCTTAGTGTCTCGATAGTCGATTCAAGCCAGGATTTCAAGGAAGTCCATTTAATTGACCTATGGCTTATTGCGGAGCGAAACGTATCATGTCTTTGCATCCTGCTCCTTTCATGTACTTTGCTACCTTGACGCTTAATCTGATTGGTCCAAAATCTTTACCTGTCTAGCCTTCTTACTGGCTGAAAAACCTACGATCCCATGCTCTTCTGCCTAGGTAACAAGTTTAGGATGACTTCGGTATCATCATAGCTCTCCAAATCGCACCTCGCGCCGGATATAGATTATACCCTCATGGCAGATTGAGGCCTTGGGAGCTAGATAACGCTGGCGAGTATATTGCCAGCCACTAGTACCACCAGCCACATTTTGTCCGAGATCGCACGCACGGAGTACGCCGGAGCAAAATACCCGTTTAACAAAAGATGGACTGTCGATCGCTCCTTGCATATTTGGAATTCCACTGTAGTGTGGCTGAGCAGCATATTGTGGCTGACCACCCAAGCCTCAATCGTCCTGCGCTAACGTCCTGAACACGGTCTCTACTTTCCCAACAACTGAAAGGAAAGTCAATTGATGGTACTATTGGCACTAACTGAGGAAGAGAGGGAAAGAAACGGACTACAAATCTATGGTTCTACCACTTTCTATGCGCACGCTTCCGAGCATTAGATCTGACGTGGATGACGCGTTCGCCAGCCAATATGCAGATTCTCGGTAGGCTACAGCATTCTCGGACGACGGGAATCGATGTGGCGTAGGTTGGCCCCATGCAAGATTAGGTCGGATCTACGATCGCTTGCGCGAATTGGTCGATGCTCTTGTCAGCTCCATCTCAATTCCTGGAAATCAATGTGGGGAACGATGCGAGGAATGTGTACCAGGCAATGCTAGCGGCTGCAACTGGTCATTTTAGGCTTGCTTGGAGGCTAGGAGACGTGCCCTGGCAGCCAAGAAGGAGCCATGTCCGATGCTTGCTTTGGGGCTACCTTAGAAGATACAGAAGGAAGTGTAATATTACTTGTTGGATTGATATCGTTGGACTCAATTGCAGATGACAGGTCGTTGGAGGACGGAAGTCGATGGTGAGCTTTATGATCCTGAGGCAACATGTCCCTTGTTGACTCGCATGTCCCGTCTGATTCTCCCTCAACGCCCTCATAACATACAACGAGGCTAATCTACAACCATAGAAGTTTGTCCACTTGTGAACCATCTGTCCACCCCTTGCATGATATGCTTTTGGTCACTCCCACAGGTCCTCATCTTGGAGCTCGTCCTCTGCGTCGCTGGGTGCCTCGTCCACCGCTCTTCGATACGCCTCAAGTGCAACCCAAGTCTCCTCAGCCGGTGTATCCAGCGCTATATTGGCATCCTCCAATTCCGCAACATTCACACACGCGCCTAAAGTAAACGGAGGCGCCGGCCGCTGGAAATCTAGCGGTATCCTGACTGTCGGACACGGCGTGGAGGACGGCGCCTCTGCTAAGCCAGGTGAGACCCTCCACACGACCGTGACAACATAATAGTCCAATTGACCCGGCCGAACCTCATCCCTCAGCCATCGCTCTCGCTTTAGAATAGAACTCCCTGTCCATCGCGACACCGACATATCGGCTTTATCAGCCGTCAGAAACTTCCCGTCCTTCCGCCGGAAGAACCACTTCTCAGCCGCCTCGTTGGCAATATACTCAACCTCGTCCTTGCGACGCTCGATACTCTCAAAGTCCATGCTGAACCGCGCGACACTTTCCGGAAAGCGGATCTTATTGACCCACTGCGCACCAATATAGAGAGGCTGGTTCTCCTCCCACATCCAGAAATCCGTATACCGGATCGTCAGCGTGATGCTCCGGGGATAGAAATGCGTCATGTCCAGCAACGCCTCCATCTGGTATCCAGTTTCGAGCATGAAAAGCTGCGCGAAGATCCTGATCCTGCCGGCTTCGACCTTTCCATGTGTCTGATAGATTAGGTCCAGGCATTGCTGGAAGGCCGCCGGCGAGAGTTGTTCTGGTGCTCGGTCATGCCATGTCAGGTAGAAGGCGTGCTCGGCGTATGTGAACGGCATGAACCAGGCTTCCTGGTAGACGCGTTTACAGGTCCGAAGAAGCTCCGTGTGGGTGCGGTGCGGGGCGGCATAGCCCGGCCGCGTCCAATATGTGTCTCTGCTGTAGGGGTTGTTAGTATCCTCGAACGCGGCAAGAGCGTAGGCAAAGATTTCCCGGCGGATTTCTGGGGGTAATATCGAGAAGAGTGGGCTTTGGTTTTGGTCCAGACATGAAGTGAAATTAGGAGGATGGATATCTGGTCCTGCCATTTTTATGATGATATGGTTGATACGGTCAAGAAATCCAAGGATTTGACAGCGCTTTTAAGCTTTGGGATTAAGCGGGGAACGGCCGTGGCAGCCTGGTACTGGCCTGCGGGTGCCTAATCTCACCACGCATCATCGACTGCGCGAAATATATTCATTATATTCATAATCGCGTTAAGTCCAGTTAATGACTCTCCCAAAACTGCGCATCGATAGCAATCAACCGATTAAACAACTGATCTCTCGCTTTCATCCCCGTCAAATGATACGCCTGCTCACTTTCGCTCCCGGAAATAACCAATCCATCCGCCGCCTCTTTGCTCCCTGCCGTCAACTCAACAATCAACTTGCCCTTCCATCCTAGTCCTTCCGTCTTTTTGAGCTCCGTAATATCACTAACAGGAATCTGAAACAAAACAGATCCCTTCTTCTGACTCTCCAGCCTCAAATCGTCAATGGAAGCCGATTGCGTAGTCGTAAAGTACATCACAGGCGGCTCTTGAGCCGAGTCTATCACAGCTGTCCCGCGCTTCCGCTGAAACTTTGCTTCGAATTTGAGGGGACCCGTAGGCGCCGCGAACCAATCCTTCTTGGCCAGGAGTTCGAGAAGGGTTCGCGTATGTGCCGAGTTGGCGATGCGCATAGCGCGGTCGAATGCGCCGTGGCTTTTAATTGCGGTCGCGATGGTGCGGCGCACGAATCGGAGGACTTTGAAGATCCATTTTCTTCGCTGTTTGGGTGCTGGATCGGTGTGCTGGTCGGTAGTCGAGTCTAACGAGTCGGTGGGCTCTTCGTTAATGGGGGTTGCGTTGGAGGCGATGACGGCGCGTGCTTTACGGCGGATGAGCGACGAGGACTCCTTGTCTTCGGTGTCTGGAGGGGGAGGGAGAGGAGAGGAGTTGATCTCGCCGATGCGTAGCAGGGTTAGTGTCAATTGTGCGTTAGTCGGGATGCCTTTGAGGAGTGTTCTATGCTTCGTTAGCATGGGGTGGTTTCTAGGATCATCGGACATACTTTTGCAGGTCGAGGTGTTGCCTCCAGTTGGGGATTTTGCGATTGAGGTAATCTATGCTATAATTGATGATGGGATCTCCGAAGAAGCCCAGACCAAGTGCAAAGGCAGTAGCTTTGATTATAAAATTGCTGGAGACAACGAGCGATAGCAGACAAACCGAGGCCATGATTCCCACCAGACGTAGACGAGGAATGTATGTGACGAATGGAGGTGTTGGTGAAAGGAGACTGTTCGCTTCTGTCAGTGCTACCCTATGTCACTGATGAAGAGAACATACTTGCAGAACTTCTCATAAATATCTGTAAGGTCATTCATCGTCCGCATTATCTCGTCGGTAGCACTGGCTACCTTCTTCTTCATCGGCTTCTGCGCCTCAGCTGTAACGCTCTCATCCAGCGCATCTGCCGCATCGACAACATCTTCGAGGCTCTCCGGCTCGGCGACCTTTTCGGCATCTTCAGACACAGCCTGTCCATATTTACCTGTCGCACTTTTCATGGAAATGGTCGCAACACTGTTGACAAGATTGTGAGCCTCCCGCTCAGCTGCTTCTCCTTTGTGCCTTTCCGAGGTCCCGGTGATACTGTCCTGTTTCCGGGGCTCTCCAGTTGCGGAATTCTCTGAGCCAGCAGGCGCTACAGATGGGCCAGGGAAAAGCACCTGACGGAGTGGCGGACACAAAACCAAGGCAATCAAAAGCCCTGATAGCGTAAAAATAACGGCATCAAACAACCAGGCAATAAAATAGCCCTGCGCACATTAGATTCGATTCCATCATGAGGAACTCTGCATCATCGCTTACCGCACAGAAAATCGCCGTCCGTCGTGGCTCTTTCCACGACCGTAGCCGGGCGATATGACTGCAGAAAGCCACCATCCCAATCACTACCGACGTATAGAAGCGCTCGATTGTAATCCGAAGCTTCTCTGGTGGAAACCGTTCGTCCTGGGCCCTGTTCAGATCGAGACCCTCCGAGGCAGTATTGGCTGCTGCCTTGACATGGTATATTTGCTTCCGGGGTCAACACATCGCGGTCGAATAGACTGTTAAGGGTGACTTACTTTGTTGAATCGTCGGATGAGCATCCACAGGTCTTCATCTGACAGTCCTAGTGATAGAGTTTCCTCGGTAGCTTTAGGCGCTGGCTTGGTGCGATGTCTGCCAGCATCGAGTCTCATGACTGGGCCCGCTGGACCTGAATCTGAAGGTGGAGTATCGTCATTTTTATTTTCGTCTCTTACTTCATCTTTAAAATCGCCTGGAATATCTATCTGAGACATACTGGGATGGGGTCGTTGGAAGCAGGGATGTGTCAAGTGTAACCATCAACGTTCAGATAAGAGCCGGGACCAGCTTTGACCCAGACAATCATCCACGGGTCGCAAAACGGAGCCTGAACTGTGGGGCATCCACACGTCATCGGCCTGAATATCTGGGGATCGATAAAGTGTTGAGTTTAGAGTTTATGATATTCTAATTGATTTCTCAGTAGAATGTAATTTGTAATAAATGCTATCTCTTTTGTGTCTAAAAGGTGACAGGTTCAGTACTCAACTCGGTTTTGCATTATTTACCTTCTATATATATAAAACCATGCGGGGTCTTAGTCTCCCCAATCAAGAAAGATACACATCACTAATAATCATGTCTTCAAGAATTATCAGAATACTGTGAAAGACATTTCTGAAAGTTTCTGCTCTGCAGGATATTTATGTTCATACTTTTCTCTTCGCGAGATGATGAGCAATCTTCAAGGACTTCCTTACTAAAGCAATATCAATACAAGCACATCTTCCAGCATTATGTTATCTGATATATTATTTAACGGTATATAGCTCTCTTATTACATATGCTTTCTCTTCTAATTACCACCCGGAGGTCAATCACAAATAAACATAGCAGAATGGCCCACCAGTCGTATCCAACAACTGCCGGATAGTCTGCGGCGGAGCCAGCGCACTGCTCATATCGACGATATCATCGAGAGTAGCATTGGGCGCGTTCGGGTTCAGAGCCGGAAGGACAGTCTGTCCTGCCACGACATAAGTCCGCTTCGTGGGGTCCTGATTCTGCCACGTCCAGAAGACACGGTCGATGGCGGCGTGGTGGAGGAAGAAAGCAGGGTCACCGGGGGAAACGAAGAAATCCTATTGCATACGTCCATTAGCTTCTTGTGTTGGACCTTAACGAAAGAAAGTTGGATACGTACACCACCAGGATCACCGCCAATGGTATAGTGGCCGCCGCTGTGGATACCCAGGAAGCCATTAGGGAAATCACCCTGCATCCTATTCTGAAAGTCAAGGATGTTGGTATAGTTATCGATCAGATCGACGACTTGGTCGGTGGTCGTCCAGCTCGCTGCGTCCTCGGAGATATCACGGCGGAGACAGCGGGGGTTGTAGTTTAGTCCGGACCCGTTCTGAGCGACGATGCCCGCGACCTTGAGGCTGGGGAAGACGGGGCCGAGGTTGACGGTCCAGCTGCAACGCTGGTTAGCTCGTAGCCCTGTCATTGGATATTCCCACAACTTACTTCTTGAACGGGCCGGAGAAGACACAGCCACCTCCGTTTCCAGGTGTCAGAACGATACCGGGAGCAGCTTCGGTACCATTGTGCGGGATGTATGATCCGTCTCCGGACATACTGTAGTCGGAGCCGTCGAATACGGGAGAGCTGCGCGGGTCATCGGCGTACTTGTTCCAGGCCCAGTATGGCTGGTAGCCAGTGTAACCGCACTCGTTGCGGAGGGCTTGTTCGTAGGCCCAGGTGAAGTAACGGTGCCATGTCAGAAAGTTACCCTTGACGTCCCATATTAGATTTGAGCATTTTGTCTAGACATTAAAAACCTACAGTGGCGTGAATAAACCATGTCTGGTTGATATGGACAGCGACAAAGTCATCGTAGCGAGAGCGCGCGCCAGGAGCAAATGTGGGATCCGATTGAGCCAGTTTCGAGGGTTTGGAGGCGAGACAGTTCACTGCGTCAGTGTACTCTTTGCGTTCCCACTTCGAGAGAGAGCCCCTGTGAATCCATCGTTAGTGGGTCGGGTCCAATTTCTGCGACACGGGGCTGATTCACCATTCTCGGCGAACCGTGGCGGTAAGAGGGGTGCACGTCTTGCTGGCGTCCGGGTTGGAGAAATGATAGAGGACCTGATTGATCAGAGCCTTTCCAGCAAGGACATCCCACTGGTCAATGCTAAAAGCTGCAGTGGGCGCAACTGCAGTCAAAGCCGCAATTGTTGAGAGCACTGTGAACCGCATACCGAACGCTCCTCTTATTGACAAGGACAAGTAGAAAAAGTAGAAGAGGATGATCAGGAAGGAGGAAAAAAAAAAGAAAATAAAAGCTTCTCTCGATTTCAGGCTATTTAAACATATTGCTGGGAGAAAACAATGCCAGGACAGCGTGCACTACGGAGTAGTCGGCACCGAAGCATACGAATAACTGTCCGCTTGCATGCAGCCTAAGGGCAAATTAGTATGATCGAATGGTACCAAGACTAGACATAGCTCTAGAACTATTGGCAAGAATGCATGTTTAGCTCATGAGAATTAAGTGAACGTGGGAGACTGAACTGCCATGTCCCCTGTGGAACGAGACATGCATAGAAGGCTTGTTATTCTGTCTTTATTATTACCTGTCTATATTACTGCATTTAATATCCGACCATTTTCCGACCATGGATTGCCGGAAGATCGCATACAATGACAGTGGTCGAAGTAGGTAATTATCGACTTTTGAGTGAGGTTAAAGAGGACGGGCCCCCCTGTTCCCTTAGGGTTACGGCCAGCTTGCCACTGTCAGCACGAGAATGTAATGAGTTGAGGATCCACAACCTACGAGGTCCATCCTCCACTTCCAAACTTTTTATTAATGTTTCGGACAATCAAACTCTTTGGTTGCACTGACTCGTTCTCGATCAGAGACCCGACCAATCACGGGAAGAGAGAGTTCAAGGATGGCACCATATCCACAGGACGGGTCATTACTACTGAGCGAGAACGTGGGCTAAAGTTCTGCGCCGCAGCAGGTAAACCAGGCAAACCTAGTAAATATTCCACTTTTCCCAGTGAAGGCCAGGGACGGCAGACTAGCGTCCGGGACTACTCTAGTAGCGTTGGGTGTGGCGCCTTTCCATAATGGCCATTTGCTTTGGACATATTTAACCCTCGTCTAATGGATCAACGGACCCTGATTGACCGAGAGCTATATTGGCGCTAAGTGGAGATTCCTCGGCGCTATTTATGATTTACCAATCGTCGACTGGCACTATTCTCCTCTTAGGTATATCGCCCGCTGCGGGCGGGAGAATACCCCGTAGTATGTCCAGATCGAGTACTTAGTCGATATCTTGTTGACAGGGTTTGTGGAACCTGGCCTATAATAGTCATTGATAGTAAATGAAGTGAAACCGACATCGGCTCCGGTCTTGTATTAGAGAAGGAATGGAGACTTTACTTGTAAGATTTCCTGGCACTTTCCCGAACCAGCCAACATGGCCGTCGACTACTCCAGCTGAGTTTAGGAAAAGCGAGGGCTCCCKGAGGCCCAGGCTTAGCATTGGTATTATCTAGTAAAGCATGGATAAAATCGGCCTCGTTGAGTTTGAACGAATTCAGGCTATGCTTCTATCTCAAACCGGGCTACTGCAACTAGTTCGGCAACGGGCCACCACGAACGGATACAATGCCGTTGTTATTACTATTATTATTATCCGTACTATTACGTGTTCAAGCCAGCTTGTTGCACGCTGCGGAGGAGATTAGTCTCTTAACCACCCTGTCCCGTGCGGGCTGGCCGGCCTTGTTTCTCCAGGAAGAGCGACTTTTCTTGGTAGAGGAAGTGGTAAAACTGACTTTTTACATTTGCAAATCCATTCCACCTGTGACATTTAGGCTGTACTGGATACAGTGTATGAGCTGGGGAACAAGTTCTATATCCAAATGAGGGGATTCAGAAACATACTTACGGGCTCCAGATGGATACCACTTGTTTCTCGGTCCAGCTGTCCTCCCTCTGGACGTGGCAAAGAAGCCAGAAGCAAGAATTGTCCTGTGCGTTAGAAGGGAGCTAGAGCACGGCCTGCGTAGTCTAGATCTCGCCCGCAGTATATTGGCCATAACACTAGTCTGATTCATGCCAACAAGCCAAGAAGCAGTATATGCACCTGACTCGAGGACTCGGACAACCCCGGTACTTTTGATTGCCACCTTTATTAAAATTCCCAAAGGAAAAAGATGAAGGACCGACGTCCCCTGTCCCCTGCTATCTCAACGAGACTTGAAGCACCGATTTGTCAAGAGAGTAGGCCGACTATTCTGAGTCTTAGTGAAATGTATTCCTCCCCTGTCCGATCCATACCGTGCCTTCTTGTAAATAAGGGGCGAAGTAGGTAGATAATTCTACTGGAAAGCTAGCTGTAGAACCACTCGTATTCTCAAACAGTTGGGTTGCTATGCTGGTTTTGCAGGAGTGAAAAAAAACTTTATCCTGAGACCTGCAGCCGCCGTGGCTCTTAGTGCAGGAAGCAAGCAAGGTTTCTGTCGATTGTCCCTGCATATCAACTAGAGCAACCAATATCTCATTTCGACCATAAGAGGGCAGAAGTATCCCTGACTCTTGAACCTCAAGAGGGATCGTACTCTCTTGCACGGTTGCACCGATCCCCACGCGATCGTCTTCCCGCCGCGGACATATGTGGATCACGACCCAAGCTGCCATGAACGGCTCCCGATAAAGATCGACAAGACCGAAGAACTGAACGGAGCGCGATCTCGATTGGACGGACTGGAGATGTTGAGTCCAATTCACCATGCCTTCGAGGCCTTGGTTCCCAGGCAATCGTCGCCTACAATCGAATTCCCTCTTCACACAAGAGGTCCTACCAATGCGCCTCGAATTCTCGCCATTGTGGGCTTTTTGACCGGTCTGTCGGCCTTGTTGGTTGTGCTGCGCTACTACGTGCGGTTGTTCATTCTGCGGAGATATGACATTGAGGATGGGATTATCCTTATATCCCAGGTAGGCTGCTCAGACAGTCTTTGGCAGGCGGTACTAATCATATCCATTGCTGACAGGCATGCGCTTTTGGTGTCCTTGCATGTTTCATTGGGGAGACACACCACGGATTGGGCCATTACAGCATTGATATTGGGTTGGAGGATTTTGGGCCGTTGTCCAAGTGGACTTTTTTCCATGCCATTGTCATTGTGCTGGGGATAAGCGCAGTCAAGATATCGCTTGCTTTCTTTCTGCTGCGGTTCGCGTCACAGAATACGTTTATCAAAAGGTTCATCATCGGGGCGCTGGGTAAGTTCGAAATGGCAACCTAAAAATACATATACGGACTGCTGACTGTCCAAAGTCTTCCTCATCCTTTTCACAATTGCCTGTGTCCTAACACTGATATTCCAATGCTTGCCCGTCAGTGCAGCGTGGGATTTTGCCCAAAAGGCCACAGCAACGTGTTATTCACCCAAAACCTACCTAGCTATTGGTGAATTCAACAGTGGTAAGTTCCTCCTTCTCTTATAAAAAGAGAGTTACTGACAGTGCCTCCAACAGCTATCAATATTGCTACTGACTTTGTTTTTGCAACCCTGCCGGTTTTCATGTTCTATAATATCCAGGTCAACAAGCGCACTAGAGCCTCCTTAATGGGGATTCTTAGTCTTGGGTACCTGTGAGTTGTTTCGTCCCGAGGTACTAGTGGAAAAACTGATGGAATGTCAGTGCATGCGCCGCAGCTATCGCCAAAACGGTTTATCAAAGTCGAGTGTTCGATGAGAAGGATGCATGGCGGTAGGTCGACCACGCAGTTTCAGTTTCAGTCACTTGCAGAGCTAACTCGCGTCCCTTGGTTCAGTGATCCTAAATTCCTCATATGGAACTGGTATGTTGACCCATTCTTCGACACCGAGCATGGAATTGACATGTTCAACAGCGTTGAGCTCAACGTTGGCATCGTAGCCGCCTGTTTCCCMACGATCAAACCACTCGTCAAGTCTGTCATCGGAAGCACTTGGAGTTTGGCCAGCAACTCCCGCTCGCGAAAGCGAACAAACAACGCTTACTACGGACAGTCGTCGAGCCATGCATTGGGCTCCTTGAGACGCAGCCGGTTAGAGCATGAAGCGCAGAAGTACAACGTGCATATCGATGCTGATCGGACATCCCTATCAGCGTCTGAGGGAGGAAGCGAGGAGAACTTGGCATCTCGTCCTCCGCATCTTCAGCGTTTGTCATCCTCGAGGATACTGCGCACAACAGAAGTAATCGTGCACAGTGAAGGGGGAAGCGATGCGGTTGGGCCGGGTATAGGGCCCAAACAGTCAGTGGATGACCGAGTATAGCCACGATGTATGACAGATCTTCGAGGTATGAGCATGACTTTGTTTCCAAATTATGTCAAAATACTATGCTACTCTTCTTTCACGAGTCATATTGCCGATGGGCTCCTACATCGCCCTCTGATTTGGGCGCTGCAACTGATCGTAACCTTCCGCTGCGAGCTCTTCCTGGCTCATAGTGATAGTGATGCAAGTTGCAAGGAGTATCACTGTCATAATAATCTCTTCAGTCATATGTCGTTCCGCTTATGTTACAGCCTTAGGCAAGAAAGGGGCACGTGACCTTACATTTCCGCCATCTTCCCAGCTTCGTTCCAGCTTCCACTGTTCGAACCACAAGTAGATCTGCGGCGCCTCTCGACCCACGAGTCGTCCTTGAACTCTCCAGACTTCAATCCAGGCTGATTGAGACCCTGTGTCTCCATAGCGGAATGTAAATCCGAGTCTCCGTGGAGTGTCTGGCGAATCACAACAGGGCCAATCTGATTTTCTAAAAGGGGTGCGAAGGGTGGCGCCTTGGCGTTACTAACCGAGCCAATGGTAGAGCGCGCTAAAACGCACGTGCCCTCGGCTCGCTTGGCAACAACTTTGACCTTTCTCAATCTCGCGTTCGATCCAAATTGCTTCACATCGAAAGTTCCTGCGAGAACCTTACGCCACTTGGCCGCGGATCAAGGTCTTCGTGTCAGACGCACTGGGTCAGATGGGGACAATACACACGGAGTCGCATTGCCCGGTTTGAGGTCTCCATACTTGGCTCTCAACTGCTCATATCACGCCGCGTTCAGTGCGGCACCGGTGCCATGGGGGATGCAGCAAGGTTGCCGATGCTCGCTCCCGCTTCCGTTGGCACGCCGCGAGTTGTGGAGATATCGACTTTCGAACGTCGCCGTCACATCGCTGTGACTGCTTGCTCGGAGTGTCGTGCCAAGAAACGTAAAGTAGGTTGCAACGAAATGTATCCAACCCCCTGGCGGTGTTGACTTTCTTTCCGCCATCAGTGTAGCGGGAAAAGTCCGTGTACGGCATGCGTGTCGCTGGGCATAGAATGCCTGCTTGACTCGGAGAGCAGTCACCGCCGCCTAGTCGGTAACAAGCGACGAGGCCCTCAGATGAAGAGTAAGGACTTGACTTTGAAGAGAAAGGTGCAATCGCCGGAGAACGAGACCCAGTCGTTAAGCCGCCATCTGCCCGGTCTGCCAAGGGCGCATGCCGAGGCCTACGAGATGGCCAAGATTAGGTACGAATCTAGTGAGACATGCGCCCGTGATATTCAAGGCACGGTCTCGACAGATCCTGTCGAGCAGACCGGGACTGATTCAGTCTCTGTGCTCAAGGATAGCTCTTCCGATCGGTCGACAGAAGGCTGGAACAATATCTGGTCTATATTTGAGAGAGTCCGCAACTGTGCGCCAGCAGACCTCTTCAAGGTAGTCAATGCCATCCGCAGTAGCTCGGATCCGACACTAGCAGCGCAATATTTGCAGCAAGTCTCCCTTGGCCGACTCGCGGATGCCCATGTCGGCTTGTCGAACTTGGCAGCAGAGTATAAGCTGATAAGCTCACCGAGGCTGCCGGCCCTGTGCGAAGAGCCAACCCTTTTCGCTCCCGCAAAGCCTTGGACGACCGTCACAGACAGTGACCGACTGGTGTCACATCTTCTCTCTCTATATTTTACCTGGGATTATCCCTGCTACGCCTGGTTTGATCAACATTTGTTCTTAGCTGATATGATAGCTGGTCAGTCGAGGTTTTGTTCACCACTCCTTGTAAATGCTGTACTAGCCCACGCCTGTGTAAGATGAGCCTTTCTGTCCCTCGACCTTTGATTCCTGACGGACTTCGCAGCTATACTCCTATAGTCTCCGAAGACCGTGGGATCGTTTTATGGAGATGGATATGTGTATCCGCTTCCTATCGGAAGCCCGGCAGCTCTGGATATCACATCCACAGCCTACCTTGACCTCAATTCAGGCACTGCTTGTCATGAACCTGACCTACAACTGTCTGGGTAAGGACAAGATCGGCTGGTCTTGCCTGGCGGCAGCGATCCACATGGCAAATGAGCTAAAATTGTATGAGCCGTTGTCTGGTGTCCGCAGCGCAGGGTCCGTTGAACCCGCCTGGAATAGAGCACACGCGGTCACAGCCTGGGGGCTTTTTGAGTGGCAAGCGTAATTATCAGCCCCCGTTGAAGTTCGTTTGCACCATATCTGACCTCGTAACAGACTCGCCGCAAGTGTAGTGGATGATTCTCCGCGTTTGGACCATTCGCCTTTTTATGAAATACCATATTCAGACGCCGAGCTTCTCGATCATAGTCAACGCTGGCACCCCTATCCTTTTAGCGGTCCGCTTTATCCATCGCGTGTCTTTTCGACGGTCAGAGCCAGGTTTGAGTTGAGCGCCGTTATCAACGACGTGACCGAATTCATTTTGGATTCCCGTCATGCCGCTTCGACTGTCGAGTCCTTTATGTTAATCCATGAAAGACTCGCCAACTGGTATGTCGAACTAAGTCCCGCGCTCCATCCTTCAAAAAACGCACCGCCACACATCTTCATCATGCAGTAAGTGCCAACCACATCAACCCAGGCACCTGTACTTGCCTTGTTGCTTACAACCGTAGCCTCCACTTCCACCTCATCGTCGTCGCTCTCTGCAGGCCCATTCTCTCCTCGGGAGGAAAACCCACCCCCTCCGTCCTCAGCATCTCCAACAAAGCCAAGCTCGCCACGCGCGAGATCATATTCCTCTTCAAACAGACCTTCGGCTGGAAATCCGCCTCTAACTTCCTCAACCATGCCCTCACACTCGGCGCCTTCAACGCCATGCCCTTCGCCAAGGACGGCGATCCCCGCTGGCGCCAGTCCTTGGAGACTTGCATCAGCGGCCTCTGGTACATTTCCTTTTCATTTCCCGTCTGCAGGTACCTGCTTCGGGCCATCCAGCATGCCCTCATCGCGGCCGGGTTCGCGGATACAGACCTTTGTCCCGAGGTTACCCGCATCCTACGATATTTTACGCGCAATGTGTGGAAGAGGTCTCTGCTTGAGACGTTGGAGAGCAAGTATCCTGCCTTTGATCCGCAGAATAACTTACGGCCGGTGGAAGATTTGCTTCTGTCGGTTGAGAGTCTGGCTTTGAATGATAAAAATGACGGTTGATGATTACGTGATCATGTGATCTAATTAGCGTGGTCTGGCTGGTGAGACCACATAGGCTTATGTATTCTATTTCGGTATCCCTGAATGAATCCCGTTATTCTATACGATGATTCAATAGAATCAATACGATAATAGATGACTTATTGCGATCTGCATTCTAAAGATTGTCTCGTGTCATTGCCCGACGGGCACGTGACCCTTGCGGGGGTGCCCGCCACTAACTAGGCATCAACCTCCTTGACGTTTAGACATAATGTAAATGCTCTGATACAAGGTGAAAATAATATAAAACCAACCACCGAAATATACAAGAGGGTATACCATGTAGTTGCAGAAAAACTACCAAGCATAATGCCCACCATGGACTTGGGCGATGTCCCCCCAACCTACAGGATCGATCTCTCTCGCCCCCCAGCCGAGCGATATGTTGAAGTTGCCAAGAAGCATCGCAACGAGCTCAGATCGCTCACCGCTCTCTTTGATGGTCTGGTTGAGTGTATCGCGCCCAATATCTCGCTGGAATGGGTCAAACGCGTCGCGCGCCTTTTCTTGCGCCGGGTGTATTCCAAGGAGGAAACGGAGGAGATCCGCGGTATCAGCCAGGCAACCGGCATCGAGATGTATCTAATTGTCTCGCTGAATGTCCTCCTTGATACGCTGATGGGTTGCACGAGCGGCGCGGCGCGGTCCCAGGACAAAAATACGACGCCCCGCATGCTCCATTTCCGGACGCTGGATTGGGGGATGGACGCGTTGCGGCGCGTGCTTGTGCAGTTTGAGTATGTCCGCGGCCCGGATTACGATACCGTGCTGGCGACGAATATCACCTACATTGGGTTTGTGGGAGTGTTGACCGGTGTCAGGAAGGGGTTGAGCGTGTCGTTGAATTTTCGACCGAACCATGATTCGAGTGGGTGGTTGGGTGATTTGCGCTTCTATGGGAGCCATCTTCTTGTTATGCTGGGCTTGAGGACATCCATTTCGTCGATGCTGAGGCAGTATATCATTCCGCCGGAGAACCCACGGAAGACCTGGTTTGGTCGATTTCTGGGCGTATTGGTCAGGAGACGTCGGAGGGTTGCAACGCCGACACTGCGCAGTATCTGTCAGGCAGTGATGCGCACACCATCCACGGCGGCGTATCTGGTTTTATGTGACGGGTTTGAAGCCACTGTGATTGAAAAGGATCATCGGACTGCAAGGATGGACTCCAGTTCATCGTTCATCGTTGCTACAAATAACGATTTCCTCGGTTCAGAACTTCGGTCGTACGACACGGCCACCGATATGTCCTTTGGCGCAGCGCTGACCTCTGGAGAGGCCGTCTCGATGACCGATTTCATCGAAGATAGTAGAGAGCGAAGAGCATGTATGCAAGCGCACTGGGACAAAAAGGTGGCTCAAGCTGCAGGGTCGGCCCATGGTCGGAAGCCACGTCATGATCCTTTGCGTCGCACACGCTCCTCTAGAAATCGAGTAGCAGATTGCCCAGTCGGTTCGACATCTACCGTCGTAGGCAAAGAGAGTGCAGAAACATCCGAGAACCATGAGATCACCGCAACACCGGAGGAGATAATACAGTGGACGGCGACATATCCAACAACGAACGAGATGACGCATTTCTCAGCGGTCATGGATCCAACAAGTGGAAGGGTCATCTGGATTCAAAGGTTCCGTGATCCTCTCAGTTTCGAAGAGACATGGTAACCCCCTGAAGAAGTGCATAGCCATTGTCAGAGGACCAAAACTTTTGATAGCATAGCAAGAATACGAGCAACACGTGATTTTGCTCCAATAATCAGCGCAGTGCCATTGCCATTACCCGAATTCCTGTAGCAATGGCTCGATGGGACTATCCAGAGCTTTGATAGGCCATTCCAACCACTCAGTCCAATCCGGGCCCAGGAAATCACGAATAGACTCGATGAGGAATTGACCACCATCGCCAAACATCCACGAATCACGGCAGGAATGAAGTAAAATGGCATAATGAGCCAGGATCACAAGCGCCTCTGGCCGCCGCTGCGGTAGCAGATCAATGTATTCCGGCGAAACAAGTATAGGCCATCCGGTGCTGCCATGACTACTTCCGGCAAGGGATCCAGCAGCCATCAACGCATTCGTCGAGGCCTGTAGGCGCTCTATCGCTTGTTTGTAGATATTTGTCAAGGTATCTCCGAGCTTTGCCGCTTGAACAAGATTAAGAAGTTTCTCGCATCCCGCTCCCAGCCGACCATCGAATTGATAAAGGGACTGACCGTCCACTAGGAGCGGTTCGAGGACCGATTGGTGTAGCATATCCCAGGCTTTCCCGCAGATTGCTCTGATCCCCCGATGGAGTCGAAAACAGTGCACGAACTTGTCGACAAACTGGTCGAAATCATTCTCCCTGTATACGAGCACGTCGCAGAGCGTGTGAAGCCCAAGAATAGCTGAGAAGAAGAACAGTGGCACACATGTTTCTTGATTCACCTCCAAGTTAGTTTCATTGAAAATTGCCAGCGCATGTGTCTGGAGCTGAGCGGCATGAGTCCGGTAGTACTCCCGTCGCTCCGGACGCTTGGTGCTGAGGTGTAATGCGCTGAAGGCTAGCAGCTCATTCGCCACGTACGGTGTTTTTAAGAGATGCGGCATAATAGTGAGGAAATGAACCGTACCCTTCCTGCGGTCCAACTCCGGAAATGTCTCGGTATATAAATGGTAAAAAAGCTCCATGTGAAGCATGTTCACTGGTGCATCTTGGGGAGTTACTGGATTCGGGCTGAGACTGGAGCGGCCCGACGTCAGGTTGGTCGCTGGTGAGAGAGATGCAGAAGCCGCCGAGCGATTTGGCGAGTCTCCAGGCCGTGTAACCTTGAACACGTTGATTCCATACTCACACACCCGCTCTGAGACGGTGCAATTAGTACATATTGGACGGTTTTCATTGCACTATAGGGAGGATTAGTAACGCTCGAGATTGCAACACGTGAGAAATCGGGACAGGATACTTTGATATGGCGGCGCTTGCACTCCAGACAACCATTCCGGGACTTCTTATGAGCTCTGCGGGGCATCGTGAATGGCAGCCCAACTGGCGTGCTTCAAGCCTATCAAGACTAACGAGATGACGAAATTTCATTCGAGAGGGGACAGTCGCGTTCAGCTCTGGCTCGCAGGAAGGCAGACAGGGTCCTCCAAATACGCGGAAACCTACAGGCGACATTCAGGGGTAAGGAAGACACATTTTGCAGTACCGCTGCAGCTCAGAAGGAAAAATTGGTCGTGCCTGGCCCGAAAAGTCGAACGACGGATACGCCGATACGAAACCGACAGACACTGCCTCCGAACGGGCCACGGGCGACGAATCGGAAGAACGCAAATCCGCGTATGCACAGACCATGTTCATTTTACCCGCCAAGACGATCCACCCTTCGGCTCTATACGCGTATAGCTTCAGCTCCTGGCAAATAAGTGTCTACAGCAACACGACTTCTCTACTTAAGGGTTTGGTTGTTGGTTCTATTCTTGCAAAAGAGGTTGCCTAGTTGACTGCAGTTGTATCCACTGTGTTCAATTTATAAACGATTCATATCCACCTTCGCCATGACTTTCTACTCATCACCCCAACTCATATTGAACTGCTCTGCCGAAACTATCTTTAGCGACAGAGTATTCCTGCAATGGCAAAGTTAGAGCCGTACGCTGGCGACTATTACCTTTGGAAATATGTGCCATCGATCCCAGCCGCTGTCATCTTCCTCCTGCTCTTCGTATGCATGACTGCCTTCCATTCCTGGAAAATATGGAAGACGCGAGCGCGGTTCTGCATCCCCTTTGCCATTGGAGGCTTGTGTAAGTGACCTGTTACTCCTTTGTTGTGCGCATACAGAATTGGCTCTAATGGCCGACACCTCAGTCGAAATCATCGGCTATATAGGTCGCATCGACTCCCACGGGAAGACCGCACAGCTTGGGCCCTATATCATTCAGAGCGTCTTTATTCTTCTCGGGCCGGTCCTTTTCGCGGCTTCAGTATACATGGTCCTCGGACGCCTTATACGCAGCATTCAAGCTGAGAAGCACTCAGTTATTCGCGTCAACTGGCTCACAAAGATCTTTGTCGCGAGCGATGTCCTCTCCTTCCTCGTCCAGGGCTCAGGAGCGGGTCTCCTGGCAAACGGGTCGAGTGCAGCCATGGGCAACAACATCATCATCGCGGGACTTGTGATTCAAGTGCTCATGTTTGGGCTGTTCATGGTCACGTCGTTCGAATTTGAGCGGCGTATGAACCGGGCTCCGAGCGGGCATGTCTTCGATGCCGACGTGCCGTGGAAGACACACTTGCATGTTTTGGATGCCGTCAGCGCTTTGATACTGATTCGGTCGGTGTTCAGGGTAATCGAGTACGCTGGGGGGCAGAACGGGTATCTGCTTGGCCACGAGTGGACCATGTATATATTTGACTCGGTGCCCATGGTCACTGCAATGGCGTTGTGGGCAGTGTGGCATCCAAGTGGCATTCAGAGCTCTGCCTCGCGCACGCACACGCAGGCGCTAGATATGAGAATGGGTTGATCAAATAATGTCGGTAGAGAGAGTCTCTAGAGGAACTGCTGTTTATGAATGGTTTATGAAGTCAGTGAAGTATCTGTCAGTTATTACCCATAGAAGGAATAGGCACGTCATTTGAGGGAACGTCATCAAGTTCACTGATGAAAAAATTAGTTCTTTGGAAATCAGTTTGCCTTACGAGGATGCTGTATCTATCCCTCAGGCTGCTGACATTGGGTTATCTCGATTTCGAGAACCCTGTTTTCTTATTCTTCCATCTCAGCCTCTTTGCCAGTCGATCATGAAATCAACGGCTCTTCGAGTCCTCAGAAGAGGAGCTGGGACAGTAGTCGCTGCTTTGACGCCTACGTTTGCTGTCCCTTTTCCTTCCAACAGATCCTTCGTCCTCTGAACTTCTCAGTTCTGGGGGGTTTCTGCGGTCGACGACGTTTCAAAACGCCTGGTCGGACCCGATTGATTGAGCCTTGTAGTTGAGTCTGGTGCCGGCGTGCCTGGGTTTGGGCCCGTTACTGATGGGACTGGAGAGACCGAGGATGGGTAAGACGTGCGACTGCGTGATGATGGGCCGTTTACAATTCATCCGTTCGGTATCCGCCAACAGCTGAGGGCAGCCCTGAGGACAATGAGGGTTAGACAATCAACCACACAGATGCTTAGATGTAGTTGGCTTTCCAAGTCTTACCAATGGACTCCTATGGCTGGAATTCCTAACAAGCAGCAAACTCCTCTGTAGTTTGGTAAGCTGTGTTTGCAACTTGTCTCCCTCCCTCCGCACCTGGGCCGACTCGGCAGCCAGCTTTTGATCATTTTCGTCGGTCATGCTAGGCACTCTGTTTGGGTCGAGAATGTGTGGAAAATTATTTCTCTTATAGCCCCGCCAAAGTTCCCTGTCATGTGCCGACCGCTGTCCATTTATTTCACGAACTTCTCATTATACCTATCAGATATGAGCTTGATATCTATAACCCCCAGGCAATGAGTCCTTGGAATAAGAGTGGGTGGAGATAGCAGAATATCTAGTGGGCAGACAGGGGCTCATCTTGAGTCAAGATGCAAGACTGGTGACTGGACTACAGGGGCGAACCAAGAGGTGAGGCAGCGTCCCACTGAATGTATTTGCTGTATTTGCTGACCGTCTTGGCGGCGGTATATCACATCTATCCATACATGATGATGTCAGTCTTGAGCTGGGCATCATCCCTGGCTGGAAAATAATGCCTCGATTGCATTCGCCCTCTTGTACCTCTGGGCATCACCCGCCTGACCCTTAGTATATTGATCACGAGCGCCGTGCGCCAGCTCAACGAGCGAGCCGACCGCATCACAAGTGCCGCGCCCAGTTCTGGGCGAGAACTTGACAAAGCGACAGTTCCGCTGGGTTGCAAACGCCTCGGCTTCTGCGTGCGACACGGCAGCTTCACCTTCGCCTTCATCCATGGCGGCGATCATTGTCGCAAGAAAGGGGAGGGCCCTATCTTTGCAGCGGCTGCGCATCCTCTCATAGGCAGTGACCATTTCGTCCCATGATTCCCTTGATGAAGCGTCATATGTGAAGATGAGGCCGATATGCTGAAAGAGGCAGAGCAAAGCTGACATAGGCCTCGAGTCGCTGGGCGGTGGACTAAAGCAGACATTGTAGGTGTAACCGTCGCAAAGGTAATCTGTGTTGCCGTCGTCTGTAGGGTCGAGAAAGCCCCAACCCGTCTCTCTCTGGAGTAGCTAATGAACCGCGCGGGGTGAGCTCGGCCAGGGGTACTTGGAGCATGTTGCGCTGGGTACATACGTGGTAAAACTTCGAGCAGTCGGCAGCGCCTTTAGCATTCACAACGATAATGGTCATGGACTGTGCATCGGACCAAGGCTTGCGGGGTAGCTTGGTGGGTGACCGCTCCACGTCGCTGATATGGATGGCACGAGGGGATGGGTTAACAGTTTCGCTCTCTGCTGTCGTGGCCGGCACTGATGGCGCGGGCTCGCTGCCACGGCTACCACGGCTGCCAATGCCACGAAGCTTGCGGAAGATGATCCTGGCGTGAGACAGCATGGGTGACAGGCGGGTGAGGTGGGTGAGGTGGGTGAGTGGATACGGGCAATGCTCAGAATATACCTGGAACCGAGGCACTGCTGGCTGTGACTTGTGTGGAAATAGTCTTGGCCGTATTTGTGAAAAAAAAAAAAAATAAGTGTCAGAATTGACTGACCAAGATGCTCTGTGATAGTTAATGGTTGAAGGAGTTAAATAACGCCTTGGAGGTTAGAGGGGAATGGCGGCCTCTTCGGGGCACTCCGCCACATTAATATATTCTGTTAAGGTAGTACCTAGCTCTTTGGCATATGACCGTCCTTTACTCCGCACATTAGTTCCTTACCAACCACTCCACTTCGATCGCTTCAATCGCTCTGCTTTACTCGCCTTGATCGCTAGCTTTAATTGCTTTATATTTGGAGTAGATAGAGTCTCCTTCCTTTTATGTACAGCCTCAACTCAGGGTTCCAACCAGCCGAACCTTCCAGTTTAGTGGTTTAGGGGGTGATTCTTGAAAATCCAGAGATACTTCCCTTACTATGGATATATGGCGGAGCGGCCCGAATAGGCCGCTATACAGGTGATCACCGACTGTATTAGCTACCGCCGCGGGCGTGGAGTGGGCCTATCTGAGGTCCCAAGCAGCCCTACTCGCAGCAGATGAACCAGTGGCCAGCTCCAATGTGGTTACCGTCTTAACCTTTGCCATGCCCCATGCGCTCCCAGACAGTAAATAAGTACTACCCTTTAACGTCTTTCATGGCATCTTGGCTCTTGACTTGTAGAGACGTTGTTTAATTTCCATAGTTGCAGCGGCCTAGTCAAGTTATATTATTGTTGCATTCGCTTAGGGCATTAGGAGGGCCAGATAGCAGACTGTAGAGGGAGGTTACTAGGGAGTCGCATCAAGTACGTAAGTAGGATCTTTCTGCCCCGCTAATAATCTCCTGTTGGGCGCCAGACCCTTGTATACATGACTGGGGAACGGAGCTCACCCCTCGAGTAATGCTAGCTCACTGCTAGTGCTGTTCCTAGAGCTAATCCCTGGGGGTTGCATTTGCCACTAACCGATTTCACCGTAGACAATCAACTTTCAAGAATTGGCAGTGGATAGAGAAGCTCCCTGTCTGCAGCCATCTGGGCTGATGTATGACGAGCTCTCCGACGTAACAAATTAGGATGCTAAATTAGATGCGTGTAGATCAACGTTCGTAGATCATAGCTTAGTCCCAAGCAGCCCGGACGTGGGCGTGGAACCAAGGGACCTGAAACCGCCGCGCAGGGACCAGGCCGTTTAACATTGCACTAGGGACAACATCTGCAGTAGCCTTGCAGGCAATAGCGCGCTGTGGTCCGAAGACAGTTTAGCACGGCCGGCTAGCAGCCCTTGTTGCTAATGGCATTTGCTCCAGTACCGATTCTATGGGGTGTGCGGAGTGTGCATCAGGTTGCATCCACTGTGATAAGCAAAGTTTAATGAATTTCTAAGTGTCCTTGCCGCCGACAGTGTGGAGCGTGGTGTCTACAAGTTCCCAATCTCAACATACCAATGAGGCTAGGGCATACGAGCCGGACGCGAAGGAGACCGGGTCGTACCTGCTCTGGTCAGTCGGAAAACAACCGGAATCAATACCGTGGGATCATGGGATGGAAGGCACGTCGTGCATGAACTAAAGGGGGAAGACCCACCACAATGGAACATGGAAAGTTGGAAAGATTCATCGGTAAAATGACTCAAGGCGACTCGTGTGTGAATGAACCGTATGATCACTAGCATTAGATTAGGACAGGGGTTCAAACAAGACTGCTCGGTGCCCCCTGCCATGGGCATTATCCTTGGGCCTAGAGGATTCGCTTGCTCCGCTGCCTACCACTGCGACGTGGGCTTTCGGGCTTTTGTCAGGTAGCTTGCAGGTATAAGAGGTCGTTCGTTCCCGCGGGCTCGGTTCATGTGCTCGCACATCCTTCCAGCTTCCTTCAGTCAGACCAAGTCACCATGAAACTGCTGGCTGCCCTCGCTTCGGCGTTGGCATGGGGTGTGAGCCTTGTCGAAGCCAAGGCCGTGTTTGCTCACTTCATGGTAAGTCACATCTCACTCCCAGTCCGGCCCAGGGGTTGACTAACGATACCGGACGCCGCGCAGGTGGGCAACACCAAGTCCCTTGGCTTGGTCGACTGGAGACATGAGATCATGGCCGCCCAAGCTGCAGGCATAGATGCCTTTGTGCTGAACATGGCCAGCAAGGACCCCACCAACAACATTGCCCTGCCCATGGCCTTCACCGCGGCCGATGACATGGGCTTCCAGCTACTCTTTTCATTCGACTACGCCGGCAACGGCCCCTGGGACAAGTCTGTCGTCATCGACATGATCAAGCAATACGGCGCCAAAAACACCTACTTCAAGAACGCCGGGAAACCATTCGTCTCAACCTTCGAGGGCCCCAATAATGCCGACGACTGGAAGGATATCAAGAAGGAGACCAACTGTTTCTTCATGCCCGACTGGTCGTCAGTCGGTGCCCAGCCTGCCGTCCACCTGGGCGACGGCATTGCCGACGGTCTCTTCAGCTGGGACGCCTGGCCGAAGGGGCCGGCCAACATGACAACCTATCCCGACGCCTCGTACTACGACTTTTTGGGTTCGAAGCCGTACATGATGCCTATCTCTCCGTGGTTCTACACCAACCTGCCCGGCTACGAGAAGAACTGGCTGTGGCGCGGCGACGACATGTGGTTCCAGCGCTGGCAGCAGGCCATCTCCCTCGACCGCCAGCCCGACTTCATCGAGATTATTTCGTGGAATGACTACGGCGAGTCGCACTATATCGGCCCCCTGGACGACCGCCAGTACGAGGCTTTCGACATCGGCCGTGCTCCTTTCAACTACGTCAAGGATAAGCCCCACGACGGCTGGCGCGAGACGCTCCCGTACTACATCTCCATGTACAAGTCCGGAACCGCCACCGTCACGGAAGAGCGCCTCGTGGCATGGTACCGAGTCAACAAGAACGGGGCCTGTTCCGACGGCGGCACCACCGGCAACACGGCGAACCAGCTGCAGTTCGAGTACTCGCCCAACCTCATGATGGAGGACAGGGTCTTTTACGATGTGCTCCTCACGAGCAACGCCCACGTCCAAGTCAGCATCGGCGGCGTGGCTCAGGCCGGCGGATGGGACCAGGAACCCCACGGGGGCGTTGGTGTATACCATGGCAGCGTCCCGATCGGGACAGCAAGCGGTCAAGTCGTGGTGACGGTGTAGAGAGGGGGCACAACCATTGCCACCATCACGGGGGCGTCCATCACCAGCAGCTGCAATGGAGGCCTCAACAACTACAACCCTTGGGTGGGGAGTGCCAGGGGTCCCTCCATCACCCCCGTCAAGACCAGTGGCGACCTTTCCAAGTTGGATTGCGTCAAGGGCTTCGGTGTGTTTGACTTCATCGGCGTCTGCGACTTCGCCTGTGCGAATGGCTAGTAAGTACATTACATGACTGCCCCGATCCGACCCTACGATTCCCGGCCCCTTTTGTGTATCAATCAACATCACTGACACTGGGACCTACCCACCGCCCTATCTAGCTGCCCCAGCGCCGCCTGTACTTGCCTTAAGAAAGGCGTCGCCAATGCGCCCAACGACACGGGACTGGCGGGCTATCCGCTCCCCGGGAAGAGCGGCTCCTTCGCGGGGCTCTGCAGTTTCGACTGCAACCACGGGTACTGCCCGGACTCGGTTTGCGGTCAGCCTCCCAACAACGGCGTCGTCCTGGGCTACTCGCCTTTCTTGCCGCCCGCATGCACGGGGGGAACCGGCGCCGGCGCCTTCCAGGGCCTCTGCGATTTTGGATGCCATCTTGGCTTCTGCCCCATCCACGCTTGCACCTGTACCTCGACCGGCATCTTGGTTCAGACACCGCCCAAGACGAACGTGACGGGATACTACCTCGACTCGTCCACAGACGACTACGGCCTCTGCAAGTTTGCCTGCGAACACGGCTACTGCCCCGATGTCTGTGGCAGCCGACCCATTGGCGACGACGGGAATCAGAGCAAGTATCACACCGTCACCCTGGATCCCGCCGTCTGGACAGCGCCGACGGCCCAGTGTGCACCCCCCTGTGTCCTTGTCCTCCCCCCCTCTTCCCTCGCCACTCCGACCACCATCTCCTTCAACCCCTGGCAAACATCTCTCGAGTTCGGGTGGACGACAACGGATACGGTTGACGGCACCGTGACGACCCACTACACTGCTGTCACCGTTACCACCGAGATTTCCATCCCGCCGGTGATCACAGACCGCATCAGCTTCTCGGAGGTGGTCCTAACCAGGACAGTCGACGGTGGCGTCCCGTCCATCATCATCCCGACGGCGAGTGTCAGCCCGCCCCCCTTTGTCATCACGCCGACTACCGTCGCCGGCATCACAGCGACGCCCGTAGCCCGGACCATCCGACCGCCTCCGTGGCCATGGAGTGGCGCTAGTGCGATGCCAGATCCAAGCGGAACTTCTACGACGACCTCTACGAGTGGCCCTATCGTCGTCGTTCCCATTGTTAGCGGGCCGTTCCCCACCACCGTTTTCCCCACGGAAACCGCAAGTTGGGTCAGGGACTGGCTCCCAGAGCCCACTACGACCCAGGTGGATGGTGGTGATCCTGTTCCTGTTGTTCCCTGCTGGGCCTGGTTCATATGGTCGTGCCCTCCCAATGTTGGTGGTATCGTCTTGCCCGGCTTCAAGAATCCGGGCGTCTACCCCAGGTATGTCACTCCCCCCTGCACAAGCCAATACCTTCCTTCTCTCGGCCGCCGCCGTGCTAAACTTTTCATGTAGGGGAGGCCCGCCGCCCGTCGGCCCCAACCCGCCTCCGGGTCTGACACTGAAAATCCCCTGGCCCCAAATCACGTAAGTCGGCCGGCAACATCCCCGAGCCATGCATGGTCTTCGTCTCACCCCTACCTCCACTCCGCTGTCTCGTTGCTGACGCTTTTGTTTGATCTTCCCTCTAGCATCGGCCCCGACCGCAAGCCCACGTACCCGGACAAGCCAGACCCGGAGGACATCTGCGAGACGGCGACAGCCAGCGTGTGCACCACGACCCTCTCATATGGCATTGTGGCCAAGCGGGCCGCCGAAGGGGCCGCCCCGACAGTGGCGCCTCGTATCCCGTTCGAAGAGTTCCAGAAGCTCAACAAGCGGGCCGTCACCACGACGACATCCACCATCTCCTTCTGCACCCAGGTGACGGGGTGCGGCGTAAGCGACATCACGTCGACGAAAAGCATCCAAAGCACCGCCACGACCAACCCTCGCGTGGTTATCCCTCGCGACCCGGGGAGCGTCAACGACATCAGGACCGCTCTGCAGCAGCAGCTTTGGGGCTCCGTGATGGATCTCTTCGAGTCCAGGACGGACCAGCTGGGCACCATGTTCTTCTTTGTCCCGGCTTTCACTGACGACCAGACCGCCGCCATCCGGGGCCACGCGCAGGTCGCGGACGCCTATATCCCCAGGGGCAGCCTGACGCGCGACTATTGGAACTTGGCTGGTAACCCGACCTCAGGGGGAGGACCATTTGCTGGGGATGATGATGATGGTGATGATGATTGGTTTATGGAGACCCTGAACAGCACCAAAAGTGAATTACAAGAGCGGTCCATTCTTGCCAAGCGCAGCGAGACTGTCCAGTCGGATTCGCCCGACGTCATGGCCCTGCTTTCCTGGCCTCCCGGGATGGGTCCCGTCCCAGACAGGGGAGATTACAGGTGTGCTTTCTTTTTTTTTTTTTTTTTTTTTTCTTCTCTCCTGCTGTGTTCCTCTCCTTTTGTGTGACAGTGTGTGTGACCGTGACTAATACAGACTGTAATAGGTTCGACTCGTCGGCGGGCGAGGGCACGTATGTGTACGACCTCGACGTTGGCGCCATGCCTTCGCACCCAGAATTTAGCGACGTGTTGTTCCACCTCCCGCTGTTTCCGGGGCCGTACCCTGTGAGCGGCTGGATGGAAAACGACCCCAAGCGGCACGGAACCATGTGTCTCTCTAAGGCGGTGGGGAAGACGGTTGGCATCGCGCGCAAGGCGGCCGTGGTGGCAACCGTGTGGGACTTTAGAACGTCCATTTCCGAGCACTGGCTCGACGGGCTCGCCAAGGTGCACGCCGACATATCCTCCGGGGCGAGGGGCGCCAAGAGCGTCGTCAACCTCTCCATCTCGATCCCCCAAAGCTGGGTGTCGGCGGCGTTCGTGGACAAGATGGGTACGTCGTCTCTTTTTTCTCCATCCTCAAGTAGGACGCCGTGGCTCTTTTACTGACCATTCTTGCCTCTTGCCTAGCCTTGCTAATTCGAGAGATCATCAAACTCGGCGCCGCGGTCGTCACGGGCTCCGGAAACGACCCAGGTTATCCCTATGGCTATCCGGCGCTTTTCGGAGACCCCACCAACCGCAACTATATCCCAGAGCTTGTCGTCGTCGGGTCGGTTCTCGGAAAAGGCATGGCGGGGGACAGACACTCCGATGCGCCCTGGGTTACCTGCTACGCGCCTGGTTACTTCCTGCGGTTGGCCACCTCTGACCCAGAGACCGACGGGTACACCGACTCCAAGGGGACGTCGTTCGCCTCCGCAACGGTCGCCGGTCTGGCAGCGTATTTCCGCGGCCTCGATCCCACCTTGACCACCGCCGCCAGGGTGAAGCAGAGGATTGTGGACCTTGCATACCGCCGGCCGGTGAACCCCGCCTACCCCAAGAACATCTATCCCGACAAGGTGGTCTGGAACGGTCAGATGAACGGCCGATCCGTTGCCGGCGACTGCAGCAGCGGCGCCTCCAAGACAAAGCGGCAGAGCAGCGGCGGCGGGTCCTGTCCCGTCGCGTTCCCGCCCCAGGCGTCGCCCCTGACCTTCCGCACCGGCCCGCCCCAGCCGACTTGCGCTGGCAGAGGCTGCGGCAGCAGCTGCGCAGGCTTCTTCTGCCCCGGCACCCCGTTCAAGCAGAACCCTGACTTCCTGGACCCGCGCAACCCGGACAGCGTGCAGAACCCGGACAGCCTCTACTACAAGGACTGGGACGGCACCATCACTCGCACCACCACCATCCCCAAAACCACCACCAAAATCACCCCCACCCCCACTCCAACGCCTCCCATAATCCCGGACGTCCCGATCGGAGGCACCTGCGGGGTTAATGACAAATGCAAGGGTGACTGCCCCAAGGGCCGGCTCCTTGGGTGCGTGAATGGAGTGTGCAATTGCTACCTTGACCAAAAAATCCCGCCTTATGGGACAATGTGCCAGAGGCTCAAGGATTGCACAGATGTTTATTACTGTGCGCTTGGGGACACGATGGTGTGCGAGACACGGGACTATTCCAACGGGAATAAGCTCTGTCTTTGTATAAAAGGGCATAGCAGTTGAGATAGGCAACGCCGTAAGGCACGGCGCGGAGTGCGGTGTGCATGAAATGTACCTGATGGTACCGGGTAGTTGGGGTGAGGAGGGTAGCGGTTCAGGGGGCAACATTGGCCGATAGAGAAGTTTCGACTTAGATTTTCAACCGTATACACATTATATATTAACTTGTAACCTGACTCGCGATCCGGCAGTCCTTTGCTGGCTCGATCGGCTCGCCACCTTTCTCATGGCTTTGTTACTCTTCAAGTTCTCTCACAGCTAAAGACCGGGGCTTCAAAATAGTCATTTCACTCCTTATCTCGGTATGTATCAGGGTATGTAGTCGACGCGGTACTTCTTCGCTGGCGGTAAAGGGGTAAATAACAGAACCGAAGTCAAGGGGTATCCTTGACCTACCACCCCTCATCTTCGAGGCGATATTGGCGCTGCCCCTACAGAAACAAGAATTCAAATAAAGAACTTATAACCCATATTTGACCCCTTGGTCACCAAGCTGTTGTTGATTATGTAATCATAACCACAGTCCTCATCGCTTGGTAGTTTAGTCCTCTCAGTCGCAGCTTAAGCCAGCTTAAGCAATGTGGAATGTCCGAGTGGAACTGAGTGGGTCAAAGAAAGAATGCGACTACTTTAGTACTGTGTGGGGGAGGAGCAACGGCAGAGTGGACCTGATAATCAGCTGGCTTAAAAGCGCATCCTTCTTTTTCCTAAATTCCTACCAACAAGGACAAAAAATACTACTAGGAAAACGAATGCGGAAGACACAGCCATCCAGGTTTCTGGCAAGGTTTCAGAATCGACGGAATGGTGGGGGGCGAGTGGATCTGACTGGTTAGCGTAGTGCGGGGTTAGTCCGCCAAGGATCTGKGGAATGCGGTAATGGCGTGTGATTGGCTGATGCTCAAGCGAGGTAGCATCAACCAGCCAATAGTCATGGTCCACACAATTTTGGGTACTGATCAACACATCATTGAATCGAGTGGACTCAGAGGAGTACATGTCACTGCTCACTAAGTCCGGGAGAGCCGGTAGAAGCTACGGTGGATCTGGGGATGTGGCCCGCCTCGACCGCTGGAGACAGAGAGCCGGTATGGGCTCACTAGTAGTCCGTAGTTAGCGATAGAATAGCATCAATATACCATCTAGAATTCCACATTCTTATTCTATGATTATGGCAGGAGAACCAAAAATACTCCGGCATGTACTTTGTTTGTACTGGCTGTATGGTGTGATGATTATGTGGCTTGCTGTAAGTTGCACCTCCTTGCCCAAAACTACTAGTGCTGCCCCTTTCTTCCCCTCCTTCAAGAATCCCTGCGACGCATTGTACTTTTACCAGTTGACAACCACGTAACTTACGATGTCAGATCGACCAAGGCAACAGCTGGAAATATTCAAACCCCTCATGACGGGCGAATGATATTCGTTATGTAGATAATGTAAGACGACAAGTCACATACATGAAACTCCATCCCTGCCAACTGGTGGCGCAATAATCAGGCCATCCAGGCCATGGTACCCAAACAAAGGAAAGTAATCGTAATGTAGAAGCAAGACACTGTCTAGCTGCAGGTCGTAATAATCTGAATGCAATAATTCCACCTCTCCAGGAGTACGGATCATCACGAAGTAACGCTCTATCATCTAAGTCGGCTCATGTAACGGAGCGTGAGGTAGACGGCGCCCATGGTTGTGTACATGGCGCCCGCGCCTGCTACCCAGACCGGCTTGTGCAGTGCAAATGAGGTCCCCGCAAGACCTGCTGTCGTCTTCTTTCTCTCTGTAAAGAGAACTTTTTAGTCGTCTGCCCATAGACGACGGCTTCACCCAGGTCGGAAAGGGAAATTCAGTACATACCTTTCTGGAAGAGTCTGTTTCGAAGAGTACCAAGTTGCTGTCTGGTGGACTGGAGAATTGGAGCTAACATCTTGGATGATAGGTTGGGATGAATGGGATCACTGTGCAGGTAGCAGGTGTGTATTGGTAGAAGGATGTCACGAGTATAGCAAACACGGGATACCTTGTTCTAGAGAAGATGTACGAGCATTCTCCAGCCTATATATACTCTTTCCTCGCCATCTGATGCGGGGTAGTCACACGACAGGGGCTTGCAGGTAGTCAGGAATCGACGTTGACGATTCAGGCTGGTGGCGTTTGACTCGTAGGCATCGACCATGGTTATCAGCATCTCCCTGTCCTCTTACGACGGCTACGCCTCCCTTGTGCTGGCAATGATTGGCCATTGTCCTTGATTGCTGGTGGCAATCTGGGGTAGCTCGAAGAGTGTGTGATGCAGAGACGCCCATCCGTAAACCTAATGTACCTGTGAGACAGTACCCTGCCAATAGGATAACGGCTACTAGGACAGTGTATCTTATTGCCACCGATTAAACACTGCCCTGACCACAATCTCCCAATGGAATCGATTGAACACTGGTGTCGAGACTCGAGAGAGCTGTGGTCAAGTCAAGTGGTGATCTTCAACGCATAACCACACATTAATAGGACATATGAGTGACCCTGTCTTCCATCCTCTTCTTACCAAAAGAAGGGAAGGGGTACAACCACGGCGCAGGGGCCATAATATTCCTCCACCGGTAATAGGTGGCTAAATTACCGCTGTTGCCTTAGGTTAAGAGCACAATTTACAGTCAAGAATATGCCAAATCATGGAGGGAGCTGCAGGTCCTGTTCCAGTGAGTTTTCAAAGAGGAAATAATGAACATATATCTTTCTGGCTGTGGGAAGGAATCCTACAAGAGCATCTGGTTCGTTGATTGCTCATCACCTTAGGTTCGGAGATGCAGCGACAGCTCTATCCAGAAGATTTGCATAAATCTACCATCATGGCTGAGAGCATCTCCACCTTTCTTTCCCCATAAAGGGCCAGTCAGACTCGATATGGACACTTGCGGAATGTCACTATTGCCGGAAAAGGCAGGAACTCGCATTCCAGTCAAGACGTCATCGATTAGTCTAGCAGATTTCAGTCATCTACCAGCCCTTCAGACTGATCAGCTCCAGGAAAATATTCAAAGGTTAAGATCCTAATAGTGGAAAGTATCGGCATTATCATATTATTGGTTCTACCGTTCGGTCACCCCACTCTTGCATGGGCTAATGCAATAATAATGTCCGTAAGATCATAGGCTATGGAATGAATATACCTTCGCAAGCACCCCATCAATTTCCACGCGGACTCAGTGGTCTATCAAGAACTCGTAGATCATCGTCCAACAGGCTCAAGTTTGCTGTAGCATTAGGCGCGACGGGAACGGTAACTGTCTTCTCCAGGAGTCGCTGAGCTCTCGACACATCTGACTAGGCGATCGACTCTTCTAATTGGATCATCCCATCTAGCGCTCGGAGTAAATTGTCTTGATGACTCTGTCAGGCTCAGTGAGTAGAATGCACAGTCTGGCAAAGCTCAGAAGATTTGGAAAGGACTGCATCGAGATAGCCACACAAGACAGACGCAATCTCCGAGAAGAAAGCGCTCTAGCTTGCTACATAGCATGGCCATTGCTTGGTCCTCGCGATCCATTGGGCAACTATAATATAAGGGTTCAAGTTGCTTTGAATAAGTCGCCAGCTAGACGAAGCAGCAAAATATGGATGGTTCATGCAGCCTGGTTTGATCGGCCAAAGTGACCTGGGCCACATTCGTTAGGACGGCCTCTTGAGGTGGTATGAACCTATGCAATGCTCAGAAATATATCTTCGTTCGAAAGAGCTCAGTACTTCTATGACATTATTTCAAGTCAGATTAGCAGAGAGTAAGGCTGTAGGAAACATTGGAATCCGGACCAAAAGAATCCACATATATCCAAGTGCCCCATAGAATTGTCGCTCTTTCTGGAGCAACTTTATGAACCTTCCGGCTTTAGGAGTCTGGGTCTTTGAGAGTCTGAGTGATATCGATAGTCACGTGACCATTCTCCTTGGCAACGTCTTTTTCGATAACGCACGCGACCGTGTTTATTGACTCACGTCGAAGAATGCCGGCGACGTCGACACGAAGAGAGCACCCCAAAATTACAGGCGCTCCCGACTATGACGATCCCGCGTACTGGGACGTCAAATTTGCGACTGGAAAAGATGTCGGGGAGTGGTTGAATTCTGGTGAAATCCTGATCGAAACTACCCTGTCCGAATTGGAGCATCGTCCTCAACCCGATACCATCCCGCGTGCTTTGCACCTCGGTCCGGGCATCTCCAAACTGGGGATCAAACTATGTGAGGCCTTTCATAAGCGCAATTGGCCGGGAAGCTGCATTGTGGTGCGTCCTCTTGTTTTGTAGAATTTTGGAGAATTGCTCTAATGTGCCACTGTTTCCGATTAGAATGTGGATTTCTCAGCGGAAGCTGTCCGCCTCGGCCAGGAACTTGAGAGCGGCAAGAACGCAGACCAGGCAATGCATTGGCTTCAGATTGACTTGAGATCGTGGAGCGATGTTGCCAAGCTAGCAAGCTATGCGCCTTTTGATGTGGTCGTCGATAAAAGCACGAGCGATGCCATTGCGACATCGCCATCTGTCAGCCTATCAACCGAATCCGATACACTACCTATTTGTCCAATCATAAGCGAGACGTTGAAAGAGACCGGAGAACTCACGCTGTCTCCAGTGGAGCTGTTGGCTTTGCACCTTGTTCCGCTGACCCAGAAGGGCAGTACCTGGGTTGCGCTCTCATATTCAACCATTCGGTTTGACAACCTCGGATATGCTGGGAAGCATTGGACTCTCGTGTCACGCACCTCTATAAAAGCACCACAAGGCCAGACGTCGTCTTTTGCACACAGCCCTGAAGTCTTTCATTGGGCCTATGTCCTCCGGCGGAAATAAGCTCACAAACCCGGTTGTGCTGACGGTGTCCAACGACAGACGGTTCTGACAAATCAGTACGCGCAATTAGCATTTGCTACGGCTACACAGAAACCAACAGAGACAGCACGCTCAGTAGGTCTTAATTCATTTCACGCGCAAAGTGATATGCTTCAGCTATAGTGGTTCCAGCATCGAAAGTTTCATGGCATCACAGCCCCATGACGCGTCAGAAATCTGTATAAGCCAGCAGTGAAGCAAGTTTTCCTGCGCTACTGTCTGGCCAACTGATTGGCCAATTCTTCGATCTCGTCCGGCCCCAGAAGACCCAACTTCTCACGCCTTGTCGGTGCTTTCGGATCAAAGAAAGGCTTCTCTGCCAGGGCGGTTACCCTAGTGCCATGCCGCGGCTCGAGTCCCTCGTAATCCCAACTGGCGTTGTGAATGGTGATCCTTGTACAATCAGTCATCGAACATCGTACCTGGCACAAAGCACATTAGTAACTTACCTGTTATCCCACAAAGCGCTTGTCCTTGGTGTCCACTTGAAGCGAACTTGGATGTCAATGTTTTTCTCGTAGACATCGCACAGATATCCGAGGATGACATCACTTTCTGCTTTGTCTAGGCCTACAATACGATCTGTCATGGCTCGGTTTACCCAAAGAGCCTTCCATCCCGTGGCAGGATGTACTCGGACGAGAGGATGCTCTCGCTCAACATATCTGGGCCCCTTTTCCGGATGCTTGCGGTCCAAATAAGGGTGGGCCGAGCGATAAATGGCTGTCTTGCCGTCGATGAACTGACGGAACGATGGTGATAACTTCTCATAAGCTGCGTAGCCGCTTGCCCATAGGGTATCCCCTCCAGTGCTGGGCACCGTATCGTTGTGGAGATGGGTGACGCCCGCTGGTTGTCGCTCATGCACGAGATCTGTATGCCAGCGGGAAGCGCCTCCAGGCCGGCGGAACGCAGCTGGGGTTTCTGCTGCTTGCAAGGCCGGCCACAATACAGTGACGCCGGGGACTCCAGGAACCTGTGGTACTTGCGGCTGAACGAGGATTAGTCCCGTGCCCTACCAACTTTATTGCGACGACGTACATGGACCTCGACCTCACCGAACCATTCGCCCAACTCCTTCTGCTGCTGTGGGGAGATATCTTGGTCTCGGAAAAAGACAACGCTTCTTTCCGCAATCAGGAGGCCCAACTCGTCTTTTTGCTTGTCGTTAAGATCCTTGAGTTGTAGCCCCACGATCTCGGTTCCGATGTGCTTGGTGAGGTGAATGACCTCCTTCGCTGCTGACAGCAGAGCCTTCTTCTCGGGATCGGCGCGGGATCCCGGGTCGATGTGAGGGCGATCATAGTTTCGGATGTTGTAGACATCATCCACGTAGAGAGGCCGAGCAGGCCGGTACGGATATCCGGCTGAGAGATCGATGCCGGCCTTTTCGAGTCTTTCCCGAGCGTTAGGAGGGAGAGGAAGAGTCTCCTTTCTTGGCTCTGCGACGTCGACAATGCGGGGATCAATTGCAGCAGGAGCCATGATGCTAGTCTTTGATGAGCGTAACAAACCTTGAGAATGGACAAATTTGGTACAAGACAGTGTCGATTCTGGTTTAATTATATAATACTGAATCCATCCCCGCTTTAATTGATTAGCAAGTGCATATGTGGGCAATTCTGTGCATACGATCACATCATCATCACGACCCATTACGCCTTCCGCACCATGTATCATATGGGCTCGTCCGCGATATTTGACACGCTCGTGGCCCTGCCTTCCCCTCATTTCGTCTTATCATCCTGCTTTATCTTCCCGAGCCCCTCAAATCGCACCAGTCTCGACCGTCATACGGACAAGATCCGAAAATCCTCATTCAGGGATATGATGGCGTTGAGACAAATGGATTTCAAAGCAACTCAACGTACAACCATTGATCGAAATAGGTTTGACTTGCACGGCAATATACTTCCGAGTCGTAAGAATTCCCCGTTTTTGTACAGTCTATGCACAATCGTTATTCGCGTCGCCAATGGTGCAATGGGAGAATGAATCACCTTCCATTGCCTAGAGGGGCACTCATAAGGGATTCCTGTCAAGAGCTCGCCGTTGGAGCAATATCGAAGCACAGTCAATACAATGACTCGCCGTCAAATTCATCACGTGGCCGTGATTGGCGCAGGAATCAGCGGCGTTGTCTCGGCTGGGCATCTGCTCGCTGCTGAAATTGAGGTTACGGTGTTTGAGAGGAATCATGCTGCAGGGGGTGTCTGGTGCGCATTACCATAAACATCTTCTTTCTGCCTTTCTGACAGGAGATTGCAGGTTGTACGACGAGCGCAAGCCCCTTGAACCCGTCTTTCCTTCCGTCCATCCCTCCCGCGCTGAACAATATACGGATGCAGCATCAGATGTTAGGGATAAGCGTGTCCTAGAACATGCGCCTCCTGGGTAGGTTTAACTTATACTAGGTAGAAAGTATTGGCTAACCTTGAGTAGGCCATGCTACGAAGGGCTCAGGAACAATGTTCCGACACCCTTGATGCGAACAAAGCTTAATGCCTGGCCAAGCGGCACACCTGACTTTGTGAGTCACGTTGTCATGAAGGAATATATTCAAGATACGTCAAAGGAGGCCGGCGTTGATGGTATTACTATCTATGGTGCGAGGGTGAAAAAGCTGCGCAAGCAGGACGACCGATGGGAGGTCACTTGGTCCACTCTCCGTGAAGAGGAGGGAAGTGAAGTCGTGCAGGAGGAGGAGCACAACGAAGTACGAGCTTTCATGTCAGGCTGCATTGTGGACTGGCTGACTGTTGCAGATATTTGACGCAGTCGTCGTCGCCTCTGGCCACTACCACGCGCCACGTATTCCCGACATTCCTGGCTTGCCGGAATCGAAGGCACTATGGCCGTCTCGAATCCTTCATTCAAAAGGATACAGAAGGCCCGAAGGATTTGAAAATAAGGTGAGTCTCTTAGGTTAGGGGTTACATGGAAATCACAAAGATACTAAGATTTTATAGAACATCCTCCTTGTCGGCGGCGGCGTATCCTCGACAGACATTGCTCGCGAGATAGGGCCAATCGCCAAAAGCGTATATCAGAGCACCCGCAACGGTGAATTTGACCTGGCTGCTTCAGTACTTCCTGAAAATGGAGTAAGAATCAGCGAGATTGCCAAATTTGAGTTGCAAAGCGACAAGCCGGTACTGGAAGATGAGCATTTGCCCTTGATCGTCCACCTCAAGTCGGGTCAGAAGCTATGCGGTATTGACGGCATAATTATCTGCACCGGCTACCACATCACGCTGCCCTTTCTTCAGGAATATCACGATGATGAGACCTCCCCCGCGGATGCAAATGAAACAGTTCTTGTGACGGACGGTACGCAGGTGCATAACCTTCACAAGGACATCTTCTACATTCCCGACCCGACATTGGTGTTCGTAGGCGTCCCATACTACACAGCAACATTCACGTTGTTTGAGTTCCAAGCCATCGCTGTTGCAGCCGTCTTCTCTGGCATTGCTCAGCTGCCTCCTGCCGAAGAGATGAGGGCGGAATATCTTGCTCGCATCAAGGCGAAAGGGAGTGGGCGGGGATTCCACTCACTCAGGAATGTGGAGGAGCACTACGTAGCAGATATCTTGGACTGGGTGAATAAGGCTCGGGCTTCTCACGGATTAGCAGCCACTGAAGGGCATACTAAGACATGGTTAGAGGCGAAGGAAGCACAGAGAGAGCGACTGAAACAGCTTTTTGGGGGTGGAGAGAGGAGAGATAGTGGGGTGGGCGAGTTCCCGGTGTTGGAGACGTGTAGCTAAGTCGCAAGGATGGTATCATATCAAATGCACCTAGAGAATGGGGCCGGCTTGTCGTGGACGGCATATACATAAAGTTTCCATATTGACTAACTCCCAACTCTCCTGCGTACTTTCCTGTACCCCACGTGTACGTAGTTGGACGCTAAGGAACGATTTGCATTGTGTGGCTGGCACATCATCCAACAATCGTATGGCGAGCTTTGAGCCGGTTACTCGCCATTACCACGAGCGAGTCAGCAAGCGTCTTGCAGACTTCTTGACATGACCACTCACAACATGTCTATGCTTATCTCAACCGAAATTGCGCAAGCCCTAACGACAATGAGGAATCCACCCTAGCTACAACGTCCCACCTTGGCCTACCCGTAGCTCAAGTTAGAAACAAGCTCAGCGGGAGTCGACTGGATGTAATAAAAGTTGATTGTCAACTACCGGTAGAGCTTGTTCAATGACAGTGGCCGTTAAAAATGCGCTGATTCTTAACTCCGGATTGAAGAACCGTTTCTAATACTAGCAAGAGCCACGCAAACTGCTCAACAACTATCTACATCTATGGCTCCCTCACCGGCAGTTATCGACGAAAGAGTCGTCGATGATGTTCCGCTGGAACAGCCCAAGCGGAAATGGGTCAGTTACATCTGGGACACGTTCGACAAGTCGCCCGAAGAGCGCAAGTTGCTGTTCAAGCTGGACACAGCTATATTGACATTCGCTTCCCTGGGTTAGTATACGTTATCAACCCATAAATTTTGTAAACAAGCTGACGGTAGATGAAGGGTATTTCATCAAGTACCTCGATCAAGTTAATATCAATAATGCATTTGTCTCTGGGATGTAGGTGGTTTATCCTCAATTTCGATGACTGTCGTTGACAGAGTATAGGAAAGAAGACCTTGGCATGTACGGCAATCAGCTCAATTACATGCAGACCTGCTGGACGGTCGGCTATGTGATTGGCGAGATACCCAGCAATTTGCTCCTCACGCGCATCCGGCCCCGATATTGGATTCCGGCGATGGAGGTATGTACCATCTTCTACGGCTTAGCTGGGACCGCTCGATGCTAACGCAGACAGCTGCTATGGACGGTTCTGACGTTCGCAATGGCGCGATGTAACTCCCCTACTCAATTCTATGTCCTGCGCTTTTTTGTCGGTATGTGATCTTGATCGTGATCCCACTGTAGGGTGGGTAGTAACAGCAACAGGCCTGGCAGAAAGCACATTCTACCCTGGCATGCAGTACATTATTGGCTCGTGGTACCGCAAAGACGAGCTGGCGAAGCGGTCCTGCATCTTTCATACGAGTAGTGGAATCGCGAGTATGTTTTCTGGATACCTGATGGCAGGCGTATATCATCTTGGTGGCAGGGGCGGATTCAAGGGTTGGCAATGGTATGTTGCGACTGCAGCTCATCCTCGCGGGTCAAGCTGACAGTCTAGGTTGTTTATAATTGACGGTGTCATTTCGCTTCCGGTCGCGCTGAGTGGGTTCTTTATTCTGCCTGATGTGCCGGAGATTTCGGACCCGTGGTATCTGACCAAGGAGGTGGGTTGAGTTGCTGTTGCAGAAGTTGAGACATGCTGATGTGTGCAGGAAGTCGCGCTGTCTCAGAAGCGAATGCAGCTAGAAGGACGGAAGAATAGAGCGCCTCTGACCACGAAGAAGCTGAAGAAGATATTCTCGTCGTGGCATATCTATCTACTGACACTGCTGTATTTGTACGTTTATTTTCACTGAGACCGAATGGCGCTGACAGCTGACACGGCCAGGTGTTTCAACAATGGTGCTGCAGGGTCCCAGCCTTTATTCCAACAGTGAGCAGTTATCCCCTGTCATTGTTTACATATATATATACTGATCAACAAACAGGTACCTCAAAAACTCGAAAGACCCCAAGTACTCTGTCGGCCAGATTAATGCCTATCCGACTACCACCGGGGCAGTTCAAGTTGTGACAACCCTAATCTACGCTTGTAAGCAGCTCCCTCCTCTACCTGCCATACCTTCTGACAAGATAGGGACGTCCGACTCCGTCCTCGGCGGCAAACGATGGCCACCCGTTATATTCGGCGCTGTAAGCTCCCACTTATACATAGTAGGCCTGCCAATCTAACGGTGCAGATAATCAACATCATCTCCTACACCTCCCTCGCTATATGGGATATCCCCACCGGCTGGAAATGGACCTGCTACATAATTGCCGGGGCAGGATACGGACTAAGTGGTCTTCTAATGGCGTACGTCCCGCCCCCTCTTTCACTGTGTGTACCTACAAACTGAAACGCAATAGATGGGCACATGAGATATGCGCCGACGATAACGAGGAACGTGCGTTGGTGGTGGGCAGCATGAATGAGATGGCGTATGTCTTTCAGGCGTGGTTGCCGCAGGTTGTTTGGCAGCAGGTTGATGCGCCGCGGTACCGGAAGGGGTTTATCACGGTGACGGTTCTTTCGGTTATACTTATTATATCGACGTATGTGACGGTTGGGCTGGAGAAGAGGGAGAAGGCTGAGAGGTGAGTGGTACTTGCGATGGGAGTAATTGTGCTAATTTGTTGTAGGGCTGGGAGGCTAGCCGACACTACGGAGCGTGAGAGTGAGGACAGTCTACCGAGGGTAGATTCGGAGGATGGAGGTGTGGTTAAGGTGTAGCTGGGCTATGCGAATGGCATTTGCAGACGGGATGGAGGTAGGGGAGAGTACATAGTTGAATGGAGCCTTAGCTAAGGCGCCAGTAAATGCAGAGTACAAATAGTCATCAATCGCCAGTCATAAATCACAACACCATCTGCCAGGTGACTCTCTTGCCCTTGACCATCGCCAACACCCCAACAGGCAAGAACCGCTTGTCGACCAGGCTCAACCCCCCAAGTAGTCTCAGCGGCTCTTCGGCATATAGCTGCAGCATCCATTTAATTTCATTATCCTCCACCGGGTAATCGAACTGAGACTGCACCTTTCCCAGCGCACTGGAGACCTCTTCCGTAAGTTTGATATCAGTCTCACCCGGAACATCCATCAAGTCTGTGTATAAATCTTTCAGGAGGTTGTCGGTGGATTCCCTAAAGCGACTGTATTCCTCAAAAGACATGAATGTATTCAATTCGTTTTTATGGATGACAGGGGTTGCTCCAGACTCTGCCTCGTGGAGGACCTCCTGATACCGCTGCAAGCGCTCGCGTTCGGTCAGCTGCTCAAATTCCTTCTTGGCGTCGAGATATGCCTGCTTCTCGTTTTCTTTGTACTCGTTCATAAGCTGGACGGGGGTGAAGGGGAGCTCGTCGCGGGCCAGGAGCGTTGAGACGAAAGGATTCCGCAGACCAAGGCCGCCCAATTGCTCCGGGAAGAAGAAGAACGCGTCCGGGATCCCGGAGACGCCGAACCGTTCCTCGATCATGTGCCGAAGGTGCTCCGTGACTGTTGAAGCGCGACCGTCGGTATTGAAGAGTGTGTTCTGCACCTTTTCGTACGTGGCAAGGATGAGATCGACGTGGTCACGTCCGAAGCAAAAGGCCGGCTGGCCGAAATTGCTAGTGAAGAAGCGGCCGATACAGCTGTTCCAGGTGCGGATCCAGGAGATGACGCTATCACAGCATTCAAGTTGCTGCTTCAATTGCTGAGCATGCGCATCCACCTGCGCCTGGTCGATCACCCAGTTACCAGAGTTGGGATCAAGCACGAGCAATCCAATCGTGACGGGCCCTTTGGGTAGTCGAGCAGCAATGCTGGCGTCTCTGGACTCGGCGAGGTAGACAGAGCCAGTTTTCGCCAGATTGAACTCCAGGCCGATGACTCTGGCGTATCTTTGCATGGCCTCCCATGCCTGGACGCATTTGGCTGGATCCCCGCACAGCCACAAATCATCGTGCATTCGGTAGAGCAACATGCCAGATTCGCGGTTCACGGTCATGTCCATGAAGAAGAGAACAAGCTCGCCCATGAGTTTCGCCATTGCGCCAGCCAGAGGCACGCCGCGTTGCCGCATGCGAGGGCCGGTAGGGGTCCGGCCATCACAGGCCTCATCCATGTTCAGTGGCGCGTGAAGGTACTTTGTGAAGAAATCGATCCACTCTTCGGTAAAGCCGATAAATCTCAAAATCGCAAAGAGGGTGCTGTGCGGAAGACCGGTCCCGTACCATTTCATATCAGACTGAATCACAGCTGCCTCGCCATGAAGATGCTGGTGGAGGAGAGTCTCCGTCGCAACCTTGCGCAGTATCCGCTGCTTGATGTTTTCGTTGGGTCCGACCTTATGCGCCAGCCTTGCACCAGCGCCTTCATCGTCGCTTGCTTCGTCATATGTAGGACCGTTCTCAAAGAGTGACGTGTCAGAGCCGGGCAAGTGTGAGAGGAAGTACGTGGACTGGTATTCGCCTTTGCGTAGGTTGTCCACGTTATTAAGTCTCCACGGGCGGGGACCGAGGTAGTAACGACGGCGGAGAATGTCGCGCTCGGTCTTCTGCGGACCTGGAGAGAATTTCCAGACTCTGTGATGTGTAATGATATATTCCAGAAGGTGCTTGAGTGCGCTGCAGAACTTGAGCGCGATGAACTCGGCGAAGATGGTCTCCAGGATGTCCTCGTCTACCCAGACGCGGTATTTGCCGTTCGTTTGCTGACGCGGTAGGACTGCAATACCCTTTTCACCAGTATGCCAGTTCCAGTTCTTCAAATCTGCGTATCGCATATTCAGGACATCTGCAATCTCAGTCATAGCAACCTTGTTGCCCAGGAAGTCTTTCAGCACAGCTCGCTTCCCGTCACTCAGCAACTCCTGAGTGAGCAGGCCTTTAATGCAATTAGACAAAGAAATCTGGTTGAACGGCTCCTCAGCTGTCCAAATTGCTTCGCATCTGTCCTTAACAAGGCTCCGTAGTTTGTTCAGCGCCAACTTCCCCTGATCCTCAACGAAGAGGTCTCCAAGAAAGGCATGGATCTCCTGTTCGTTGGTCTCACGCGGCTCGAAGACGACGGCTTCAAACTGGTCGCATAGTTGCTGAAGACGTTGCTTCTGGCGTTCTTCCACAACATGAAAATCTTCGTCGTCAGAATCATCCTTGGCTTTGGGGTTGCTCGTATTGTTTGAAGGACTCATCCACTCGGTCAGCAAGCGCGCATAGAGATCGGCAAGACTCAATTTGCGACTGTGGGCGTCCAATTTAGAAATCAAGGTCTCTTCAAACCCCTCTATCATCTTCGAGGGGATCGACGAGTCGTATCTGGCTTGATCGAGCCATCGTTCGATATGGCCGATGGTGACATCCGTAGAGGCGCCGGGATAGAGTTCTTTGGTGCCAGCCAGGAGATGTCTCAATCTGTCGAATTGATGGTCACAGGCAGCAGATACTCTGAGGATCTCAGATTTACGCGACTGATAAGCGTTGCGCAGTTTCTCCAGCTCGCGCATCTTGCTGAGAGTTAGCGATTGAACAGTCTGGGAGAGGGCGGTGTTGGACGCCATGATGAAAGGGAGCGATGCGATGATGATTGAGTCGAGGCCATTGTGATCAGAGATTTCAATGGTCTTAAGTAGACTCTGGAGGCTCGTGCGTGGGTCACTCTGGGCCTTTGGGGGCCGTCTGCATTGTACATATTTCCCTGAGGCTTCTGGCAGATAGGCTAGGGTCTACCTAGAAGCTCGATAGAGTCTAGAGTCTAGAGTCTAGGCGGCGGCTGACAACAGGCAACAATGTCACGTGAGTAAGACTTCCAAGACGTTCATCACATGACTCACCGACATTTCACTTGTCAAGATCAAAACAATAATGACACTTCGCAGTGTCAGCCTCAATTAGCGCTCTTTCATGCTCAGCCTCGCTCATCTCCAAAGGGGCAAACTAACCAAGTATTGCTGACACTGATAGGTTAAGATGGTCCGTTGCTGCATCCAATCAATTGGTCGCTGCGTTGTCAGTGACGGCATCTTTGTCGATCACCGTGACACTCGCCACCTCCACTGTCCCATCATCGTCGACAATGACCGATAACCTCCTCTGGTTTATTTTCAAGCTGTCAAACGCAAACAGCCTTCTTGCGTCGAATTCGTCAAAGTGGTGTCACAAATAGTGAACTTACGCGGCATAGGCTATAAGCTGGCGGTTATCTGGAAAGAGGATAACCGGGCCAAAAATGATGATGTCAGGCAGAAAGCAAAACGACMACGATCGAGCGATGAAAGGACCAACGAGGAAGACTTGATGAGAATATGACCGCCGTCAAATCAACGAAGCGCATATGTATTGCTTCGCTCACAGTGACCAGGGCAGCACACCACCAGGATGATGATGGTGGCTGTTATGCGATCATCGTTTTGACGTCACACTGGATGCAGATTGTCTATATAGTTATCGCACAATCTGTTCATCATGAAATGCAGTTCTCATCCTTGCCTATCATCTAGTCAACGAAAAATAATCCTAATAAGCGAGCCCTCTATCTCATCCACTAAGAGCAACATGCCTCTCTTCCACCGCAATTCAGTATCCAGCTCCTCCTCCTCGGCCCGTAGCATCGAGGAACCCAACCAACGCAGCCACGGGTTATTCGGTGGTCGTAACTCGCATTCCAGCTACTCCTCTCGCCGTTCCTCGGGTAGCTACTCGAGCGGACACACGCAGCGTCGCGGTTTGCTCGGCCGACAACATGAAGACCCCTCTATTGCGGCGGCCAAGGAACAGGTCTTCCGAGCCGAGTCTGCAGAGCAGGCGGCCGATCGGGCTCTGAGGGAATCCCGGTTGGCGGTGCGCGAAGCAAAGGACCATGTGAAACGACTGGAGTACGAGGCGGCTGAAGAGTAAGTTCTTGCTGGCTGCGTACCAGTGGTATTCCGTACAGGAGCACTGATTGACTTTGGTAGGGCGCGACTGGCCAAGCATAAGCAGTATCAGGCCAAGTCCATCTCGAAGAGAGCCAAGCCTCTTGGACGTAAGTTTTGACTCTGACCTGGCTGTCMATGGCAAGGCCACTCACGAGGACAGGCCATGTCTGATCAGACGCTGGTCATTTACGATGGGAGGTCATAGTGGTTACTTTGTCATGTTCAAGCTATGTACTATATTTGTTTCAGAATCTGTATTTGTAGCATAATGTGTAACGACTTATGATTCATCCCGTCTATTCAACTTGTTCCACTTACAAAACACCACAGTAGATCACGCACTAAAATATTTGAGATAATCCCACTTTCCGAGCGGCACTCCCTTACTCCTCAAGATTGCATACGCAATGTCCAAATGGAAAAAGAAGTTCGGCAACCCAAACCGATTCACGTACGACTCGCCAGTAAAGGTCGCCTCGTGCTGGCCAAATTTCACATCGAACTGCTTGTGCTCTCTGCCCTCAAAGAGCTTAGGATCAACAGCCTTGATCACCTCGATGGTCCTGTTGATGCGAGCGTATAATTCTTCAAAGGTAGTCTCGTTGTCTTCCATAGGCACGACTTCGGTGCCCGCGAGTCGGGCGACAGAGTTCTTAGAAGTGTTACTGACGGTTTGGACTTGGAAGCTCAGAGGTTTCATGTCTGGGTAGAGACGGGCCTCGACGAAGTCGGAGAGGGGAATGTTGTTCTCTTTGGCATAATCTTCAGCCTTTTTGAGGAGGAGGGTGAGGGTTTCCAGGCCCTTGAGGTAGGTGGGCACGGTATAGGTGTAGAGAGAGGAGGTCATTTTGCTTGTCTTTAGTGGAAACAAGTAGTAATTGATTTTGTATCTTTGCTGTGGTTGTCTTCTGCTAAACGATGGACTTCCTGCTCATTTATACTTATCCTGAATCCTCACCAACATGGCCAACATCAAAGCCCCGCCATCAATACGAGACCTCCCGCGGCCGAAGATCTTAATCCACCCGAATTACAAAGCAATAGAATTTTGCGGTGCAACTTAGAATAACATGATTTGTAATGTCAATTGCTAGATGTAGAAATCTGTGGACATCTCACCGCCGTTTGCTGACCAAAGCGACCTACACGTGTCTTGTTCAGCTGGATCGGTGAAAAGGCCACGTTGGAGAAAGGACGGGCCCAGGCTAGCCGAAGGTTAAGTCTACAGTCGCACAGCTTCATATCTAATACCTACATTATATTCCCCTCCTCTCTGAAATGTTATTGGCACCATGAGTATCTGCTGTAGTATTATTTCGTCATTTCATCGGATCCACCCCGTTGGATTGCAAATTCCAGCAACCCATGAGCCCCGCCCCTGACTAGCAAGGATCACCCAGGGCCCTGGCACGCAGAGACATTAGCAGCCGCTAGTATATATCTACAATAATCCTTAATGCCCATCGAAGTATGAAAAAGCTAGCATAAATCATTGTAGTTCTAATCTGTTCAACCCAAATCCAAGCCATATATTACCAGTTTTGATGTTAAATGATATTCCAACAATCAATACCTGGCTGGGGGGCATGATATATCAATGTAGCTCAGCCCCTTCTGAGACAGTCAGGGACGCTGAGACCTGGTGCTCTTTCCCAAGATGTTTGGAGAGCCTATCACCCTCTTAACTGTTTGCTAGACTCCCAGACCACTATCAGCTTCGAGTTGAAAACAAGGCCACCGTGAGAAGGCGACTGATGAGTTTAAAGGCCCTGCTCTAGTTTGGGCTGCATGAGTAAAGGAGTATCACTGTGTTTCCGGCATGGAAGGCAGTAACGGTCGTTACTGTACCAGAGCACAATTATTTGCAAAGCTATTGAGATAAATGCAAACTGACTTTTTCCTAATATCGGTGACATCCAAAAGGACATCCCCACAACGGCTTCTTCTTTCTTTTGCAGTCACAGTCCAACCTATTGAATGACCTGCTGTCCTTTCCTATCATTTTGTCGAACCAATCCTCCATTTCTAGATTCCATCAGTACCCGCAGGGACTAAATAGGGAGGCACTACTAACCTTCGTCTTCCTTGAGGTCTAGAATGCGATTACCCGGACAGTGAGCAATTGGCCTCAAACGGGAAATCCATTCTTTCAACGGAAGATTAGCTTTGCGAATGTCAAAATCCACCCGGCCGCTTTGTTCGTTTCCATTGTTGACTCTTTTGAAATAATAATAATTGCCGTCACAGATAATATCTTCCAATGAGAGTGTTTCTAGAGATAGCTCGTTCTGTAAAGTTTCCAAAAGGCTAGACACACAAGTCACCTTTTCTTCGTTGCGTTTCCATGCCATTCGGGTTTCCCAGGTCGGACAGAGTGAACCTCGAGCATATTCAGGTGGAGAATATGGGTGATAAGTAGATAACCACTTTGCGCTTGGATATTCTTCTGTTGTCAACTCAGAGGATTCGGAAGTCGAGGAATGCTGTGGGAATTGGGGTGCACTTTCTGCCCATGCTGTGTCAGATGCTGGCAGGACTGGTAGGGGGGCTGGTCCATATTCCGGCGGGGCTACGGTCGGTGTGTACGATGACGATGGTGAAAATGATGGCAGTGTTGGTTGAAATGATGGCAATGTTGGTACAAACGATTCATTTTCTTGGTGGCTGGGAGACTCGCTATGTTGCGACCTAGGATTTTCTGCAGCTCTCAACTCCTCGCTGCGTATTGTCACCCGTTCAAGTGTAAGAGTGACCAGATTTTTCTTTACACTAAGCAATAGTGATTTCAAAGAGTTGAAATAGATATCAAGCTCGTGAATATGAAGCTCTCGGAGTCGAGTGAAGCTAATGTCATGGAACATGTTTCCAACATAGCGTTTTGCTGGATAGGCAGGCATCTCATCTTGAACAAGATAAAAAGGCATATGATCTTGCGACAAAACCAGTCCTTCCAGTTGAGGTGCAAGCTTCGTGAAAAATTTCAGCCAAGCCGCCTCATTGAGATCAATACATAAATGAAGATCCTCTAGGGCTTTTAAAGTAGACAGTAGAGAGTCGAATTGTTCTTCAGAGAGGGCAATTCTGGGGCCGATATCACCACAGAAATTAGAATCACAGGTATACAGCTTTCGGGGTCTGCAGCTTGAGCCACATAACGCAAGAAAAAGCTTCGACAATGCCAAGGAGTTCAGTTTCCTTATCTGGCTATCCTGATTGGTATGGGTAAAGGCTCGCAGGCTGTAAACATCGAATCGAAAATCAATCCGGCTCATCATCTGTCGCCTTCCCAGGAATGGAACTGTCTGCTGCCGTGGATCAAGCAAAAATTCCGTTCTGTAATGTGCGAGTCCTATTGTTTGGAGATTCTTAAATCGATCCATGCATTCCCGAAGTCGAACACTGAACGCTTCTGATTCCAGCAGGTTAGAATTATCCGCAAGCATGGCTTTATGGACAGCATACCGACTTTCCAGCTCATCGCCATTAACTTGTCAGCAGCTTTTTGATGATATAGATACCATGCCGAGGGGCTTTTCAGTACCATCGAACACAATGGGTATCATCCATAGCTCTTGGACGTGCTCGCGGAGACCATTTATCTTGGATAGTTCTTCCAGTTCGTGGAGACTTTCGCTCGTCACAATAAAACGGATTTTTCGGTAAAAGGTCTCCGCGAAATTCTCCAGTGAGTTTTTGTACAATGCGCGGCATGATAACCTCAGAGCGACCAATTGCTGGAAATCCAATTAGTTACATATCTTTGAGATCAATTCCACGGGCAGAGCTGCAATGGACATTTTGGCTACGCGTGTGGCGTTTCAAGGTTGAGAACAATAATAATAAGAGGCTCGGTTTGTTATCCGCAGAAATGAGTAGTAATCAGCCTCACTCTCTAGGGCTCCGGGCTCCCTTTGACGAGAAAGCGAAATCAAGGTAAGATTTCTGCGCTGAGAGACAGAGATAACAAGACTATATCTTATATATAGTTTGTAGGGGTAAAAGCCCTAAAAATAATTGATATTGATATTATTAAGTATAAGAAAATTTTTTAGATCCCTGCTATATAAAGTATATTATTTAATCTAGACACTATTACTTAGAAAAGGTCGCAAGGATTACCTAGGGGCCCCCTGGCATGCAGAGACATTAGCAGCTGCTAGTATAAATATTATAATAATCCTTACTCCCTATTAAAGTATGGAAAAGCTAGTATAAATTATTATAGCTCTAGTCCATTCAACCCAAACCCAAGCCATATATTACTAGTTTTAATAGTTATATGATATTCCAATAATCAATCACTGCTTAGGAGTATGATATATTAGTGTAGCTCAGCCCCCTCCTAAGATAATCAGGGATGCTGAAAGCTGATGCTCTCTCCCAAGATGTTCGGAGAGCCTAGCACCCTCTTAATTCTTTGTTGGACTGTCAGCTTTGAGTTAAAAATAAGGCCACCGTGAGGAGGTGGCTGATCAGTTTAAAGGCCCTACCCTAGTGCGGGCTGCATGAGATAAAGGCAGCCATACTTAAAGGGAAATAGCGCTCACGTAGTTTGCCTGAGGCCTGAGGCCCCGAGTATCTGCTCTGCTGGAACCTCTGATATAGGGTAAACGATATCACATGACGCTGTCATCAGTATGTAACCAGTATACGTCACTCTGAGTCGCATATGCCCAGGAAGAGATGACTGAGAACGTCCCCCGTCGTTCTCTTCTCTCTTCTCAGTACGCTCTACTTGCTCGTTCGCCGTCGTACGCCTCATCAATCAAGTGATAACCTAACGCAACTCCCATCGCAAAGCTTCTCAAACAGCCACCATGCAGTCCAGATTCAAGGAAAGACTCTCCTACCAGACCAACCCCCAAGAGCTTGAGCAGTTCATGAAGCAGAACAAGACCAAACACGACACTCGCGCTCAGGAGCCCTCAAAGCCCGAGGAGCCCGCGAAGCAGCTTCGCCAAGAGCGAACTGCTCTCCACGACGCAGCCGAATTCGGCTATCCCAACTTCGCCCTCACCTTCATCGAACACGGGGATGATATAAATGCTGTAGATGCAAAAGGACGCACTCCCCTCCACGTTGCTGTACAAGCAGAAAGAGAGGAGATGGTGCTCCTCCTCATAGAGAAAGGAGCAGATGTGAACACCAAAGACAACGATGGACTCACCCCTCTACATTTCGCTGTCGTGCTGCGTTCACTGGCCTTGGCCCGCCTACTTCTGCAGGCTGGAGCAAACCCACGCGCTGAAAATGCGTATGGGCACACCCCGTTCCTCTTTGCTTACTTGTTTGGGGAAAATGAGATTCTGGAGGGCTTTACCGAGACGAGCCGTTCACAACTTGAAGCAGTGTCGTCCAGCACGCTTCGTGGATACCTGGTCAACATGCGCCGTTGGGCCAAGATGAGATCCGTGTGTTGTAATCAGAGAGTATGCGGAGCTGTAGTTGTTGCTACACGAAGGCTCTGACCAGTCGAGACATGTGCTGGCTTTTTGAAGTTACCGTATAGACTTTGCTTTCGAGGATTGGTGAGGAAGAGATCTGTTGCTTGTTAACTCGATTTGATACCCTTGATCTTGTTTGTTATTTTTGTGAATGTTTGGTCCTGTTGCCAGCCTGTGAAGGATATTTATGGAGATGGACCTTGCTCGGTTGCTTAAGAGACTTGGCTAAATTGATTTGTGGTACCCTTGAAAGAGTTGATTGATTGTGAACTGCGCTAGAACCATGTTTCTTTGTCTCCATCCTGAGAATGGGGGCCAATACCCAAGATTCTACAAGAGATTGAAGACAAATTTGGATGATGTTGTTTCAGATACCTCTTGCTCAGCAGCTGGGTTTCTCAGAAGGATGATTGGTGGTGATGAATGTCCATCGGTCGTACGTTTAGTTAGGTGAAAGGGAGGCCCTGAATTCAGTAAGCAGTATTATAATTCATCAATGATCCTCACAGTCCGACTCGCAGTCCGTCTCACAGCCTATAGCATGGCGAGGAAGAGAAAGCAACCCCCGTGCATCTAGATGGTCCAGCCAGCTGGCGTACCAATCCAAGAATTCTGGAATAGAATCAAAGCGCGCCTTCCGGTCGTACAGAACGCTAGGATTGACAACCTCGGCCTGAAAAACAACCACCCGCCACCCCCAGTCCCGGATGTTGGCAGCATCCTGGACGTCATCGTCCTCGTCGTCATCCGTCAACAGCCGGCAGTATGCATACGCACTATACCACGACGGGCATGCGTACCGCTGGTCAAATCCAATACCGGTGATAAAGCCAGCCCTGACCTCCAGGTCCTCGTCGACAAACGCCTTCAGACACTCATTGAACACTTCATATTCCAACCTTTTCTGCAAGTTCTCTTGTTCGCGCTTCAGTAGCTCCGGATCCGCCAACTTGTCGCGTCTCTGTCCCTCGTTAAGTCCATCTAGTTCCTCGTCCTTGACTCCAGTCGACCAAGCCGGCGTGAACGGCGCAATGCCTGAGAGCCGGAAGTCAACGTCCACCACCCCCTGCGCATACTTTAGGAACAGCGCTAGCTCGTCACACCGCGGGATAGTCATAGGCCTGTGGTCTCTGTGGTAATTGCACGCGACGTCAAGCTCCACCTCGTCTTCGGGGACGATCGCGTCCGCCTGCGCCTGGCACACACGCTGAACTGTATCAAGGTACATCTGCCTCCACTGCTCTGTGCGCAGTAGGGGCGGTAGCACACCGTCAACCGGTTCAGGGGATTGCAGGGCGTTGAGAATAGTAGGGATATCGAGGTCAGCGACTGATGTCTCCTGTGGGATTCGGATCCCACCAGGGTTCCCGCGCGTCTCGGGGTCGTCATCGTCCCATTCGAGATAGTTCATCCATCGGTACTCGCGGAGCCGGCGGCGCTTCCCCTCTTCAGTTGCTAGACCTTTCGTTTCAATTTCATTGACGCGGTCCTGGAGGAACTTTTGGTTTGCGGCGACCATTCTGCTACGGAAGCGGGCGATGGCAAGGCGCATGATTTCGTCTGCGTCTGCGTTTGTGTCTGCGTTTGTGTCTGTAGCTGAGGCTAAGGCTGAGGCTGAACCTGCCATTGGTGTTTTCGAGGACAGCTTCGTGTTCTTTGCGTCATTATCAGTCTGCTTTTTTTTATTGTTGTTTTGTTCTTTCTTCTTTGAGAGTGAGGAGAGGGGAAAGTGAGAGTAAGAAATTGGGAGACTGGGGCCTTTGAACATGCCAAAAGTTGGTTTGAGTGGGTACCACCCTGCTAGTTCGTCATTGGTGCCTAGCGGAGCCTACAGAGGAGTCAAAGAAAGGGGAAGAAGGAGAAAAGAGGCTGAAAGAGCAAGGTCAGGTCTTTTATGTTGGAACAACAGAGGGGAGAGGTTATGTAACGGTGTATAGGGCGCGAACCCAGAAACAGCAAAACTGACTGCATCTAGTAAATCACAGGTCCCAATACTACAACCTTCATGGATCAGTCTCGTAGTTCGATGGCTTTAGCTACGTAACAATCTTGTTCAAAAGACAATAGGGCACATTTTCAAGTGTGCGCTTATAGACTTAATGACCATCTAACACGGCTTCCAGAATCACTAATTCATTCTGGAGGAAACCGGGATGGTCATGCAGAAGATTCTCTAACGGGAAGTTCAGCTCCCGCTTCATCTGCTCATGATCTTTCTCGCCAGGAAACCAGATATTGTGCAACATCTCAGCGAGTTCCATGCTCCGATCAGATGAACTATTCTCGTCAAAGGAATAAGAAGTACCGAGAGGATGGAGGGAAGTCCCTCCGAATCCGACCTCAATCAGTATCTTCATGGCAGAGTGAAGAAGCAAGCCCTGATGGGCGGGTCCCGTGTTCTTGCCGCTCAATGGAGTACACACGGCGTTCATCAATTTCTGGACTTCATTATATGGTGCACCCTGGATCAGAATGACCCGCGCATTCGATGATGACTTGTCAACCACGCGGACGGCTTCTAGCAAGAAACCGCGGAGATCATCAACATAGTCAAGAATCATAGTTGCAATGACGACATCAAACTGGGCATCTGGGTACGGGAGGTTGTTGAAATTGTCCACAGACTTGGTTCTTGCTGAGGCCTTGCCAAGGAAGTCTGCGAGGATCAGAAGCCAGCATATAGCGAGGAAGAATGCATTAATAGCTCACCTTTCAGCCCCCCACCAATATCCAGTACCCTTCCATGGCCCTCCAGCATCGAGGACAGCTTCATCCTCTCATCATCCTTTAAGAATAGGTGGCCCTGTAGAYGTCTCCAAGCCGACTCATTGCGCATTGACTTTCCCGGAGGGCCTTCAGGCAAAGGATACGGTCCCAGCAACGGATGTGACGACGATTTCCTCCCGACGATCAAATAATGAGTCTCAGACCGCGTATGCTTGGGATCCTTGGATATGTAGTCGAACATTTTCTCCAACTCAATGGCAAAACCAGCTTCGCGCAATAGATTCAACCAAGCCGTTTGGGAAAAGTACAGCTCGAACACCGGCCTCTCCATCCACGTTACTTTAGACCTCGTACAATCCCAGACGGGGTCATGTACGCCTTTTCCTCCCACAAGGGCCGAGGAAGGCGACACACCAAGTACCAGGATCCCATCCCCCTTCAACCACTCAGCGAACCGATATATCATTTTATGAACATCGCTTGGTCGAATCTGATAGAGAGAGTAGATCGCAAACACAGCGTCCATTTTGACCGGAGGAGTGTAGATTCGCATATCGGCCTTCGAGAATATCCCTGGAACTTGGCTGGCTGCAATTCTCACCATGTTCTCAGCAACGTCAATGCCGTAGACGGTGTGACCGGCCGATGCGATCGCTGCAGCGACCGGTTTGCCCGTTCCACAACCGACGTCGAGGACATGGCTGCTGCGTGGAAGCTTGCTCACCACATATTCGGTGACTTGGAGCAGCCCGGGACTATCGGCATAGGCGTCTTCATAACGCTCTCCGAGTGCATTGAAGAGGGTCTCAGCATCGACTTCCATGGCGGGGATTACATTACCGGTTGGTAATTGCTATGACCGTGGGGTATTTTGAGGTTAAGTGCTGGGGTGCATGTTGACGTGGCACCTGCAAGGATGACGGACCATCTCCGTGTACTCTCTGGTAATGGTTTGATTTGGAATTGGGGATTCCACACTCTCCTCCATATACCAAAGAGCATCGTTGCTTGAAAACAAGCTCCACCGCTCTTTTCCGGGGGACACCATGTAACGGTCAGATGAAGGTTTTGGACGATTTTGGGATGGTCATTCCTGTCTTGCACTTGTTTACGACATATTGCCGGATGAAGTATGTGCCCCTGATGATGCATGGTCAAACCATACTCTGAGCTTCATGGACCTTGACCTTCTCATCACTCAACGTAGGCCACCGAGCAAGAAATTTGTACACACACTACTGCAGAGGGCACCACAGGAGTCACATAAGGAATCATCAGTCTGGTGACTGCGCAGGGACGATCTTCTCCTCAATGCCCCCTTCTCTACTAAGCTCCACCATGTGAAAAGTGCGCAAGACGGATGCACGTTTTCGAGTCCCTTCGGCAGATTATCAAAAACAGAACTGTCTGCACAAAATCCATCCCTTGGCCGGTTGACCAACCCAATTAGATGCAGTCTCCAGTCATCCCATATTGGGATTCCAAGGCGTCGAAACGCTTGGAAATCCACATATATCAGAGGATGATTGACAGACCGATGAACAGCGAAAAGGACGCGATACGAGCCTATAGCGCCATTTTGTCGCCGTCCGGCGCGGTGATGAATCATTTCCCAGTCTTTATCCGCGTCTGGATTCTTTGGAGGGTTGGGCATGATTAGACGTGCCGGAGCAGTCGAGAGCGATTTTTCTAACGGAGGAATGGTCACTAGAAAAGGGAAACGGTGGTCGAGGGTTATTGTCTCGCTAGGATAAATGACACAAGCACTCCGCGATCGTTTTGAATTCTTCGAGACGCCATCTCAGCCAGCCTTCTTTGACATATCGCTCAGTGAAAGAGTTTTTGTCCTCCAGAGACCAGTCCCATTGCATGTTTGCCGCGTGCAAAACGCAACTGAATGTCGCGAGCGTCCACAAAATGCGATGTGTTCGATATGTTTCAGCCCAGGAAGGAGGATGATATGTGATCCGGATGGGTTCGCTTTGGGGCTCGGATAATCTTCCCGCTATCCATTCAACGGCTTTGCTGGGAGAGCCGATCACACGGCGAGGATCTGAAACCATAAGACGATCCAAAATAATATGTATGCAAGCAGAAGCAGCGTGACAGATACTCGCCGCTATACTGACGCCTTTTCGCACGGCTCCAAAAGAATGGCCAGTGGGGAGAGAAAACGGCACAATAGATGTTGGGTAATCGCCATCTACTAGCTCTGGCAGGCTTGAGGGAGTAAATGTTCCATCTGACTCGAGGAGTATGATACTGCGAAATTCGTACTGTAGCCCATGGGAGAGAATCGGACAATTCTTCATGACCCGCTCAGTGATTGTCTTGTAATATTTACCAAACAATTGATCCGCTCGGGCGGACGTTCTGAGCAAGCCATCTAGGCTGGCAAAGTCGGTACTAAATCCAAGGATGGACACTATTATCTCAGGTGGGAGTGTTGAGAAGGGATCCATGGAGAGACCAGAAATCAGAACAGAGGTATGGAGAAAGCGAAAGAAATAGGGCCCAATTTAAAACGAAGAGCGGACGGAAGAATTAGATTAGAACTGGGCCAAGTGGGCAAGCTGTCTTCACCATAGCATTGGAAAAGCCAAGAAGCATCGCCCCCGACGAGTCAAGGGAGTCACAGCTGCTTATTCACTATGATCGTTATTGGTGGTGGGACCGAGAAAAGCTCGTATTCTCCAGATTCGGTTGCTGCCTGGATTACATCAACGATCTTCTTCATCACCTATGCTTATCTCGACGCGTTCATCAATATTTTATTGGTATCATCATTTGTTTGATCTCTGGTAGACGCTCAATGGATATTCAAGTAAAGGCAAGGTCCGGAACTTCGCCCTTGTCTTCAGACCTTGAGGCTTCAAATACGGCCGCGTTGCCAGCTCGGCGGAACTTACAATCGGGAGAACAAGGAAAAACCATGACTAATCAGCGACAGAAACGACCGCATACCAAGTCTCGCTGGGGCTGCTACAACTGCAGAGCAAGGAGGGTAAAGGTACGTTTGATCCGCAGATTCCAGGAACGACGTTCACTAACGAGTGCAGTGTCAAGAAACCAAGCCGGCATGCGAGAACTGCATGTACCGAGACATGGAATGTGTCTATCCGTCCAAAGTCCGGGAATGGGTTGGTGCAGGGAAGCAGCCGGCATCGCGACGAGATGCTTTGGTAGCATCATCACAGAGTGGCAAGCTGGTGTCACCTTCACTAGGACTCGCTGTCAGTCCGGTCGGTGGCGACGACCTGCGATTCTTCCATCATTTCCTCGTCTTTGCGCGCCCGCATCTGCCCTTTGGGAGTGAGGAGACATGGGCGACAGAAGTACCCAAATATGCCCACGAGGTGATTATTGATTATCTTGTCGAGGTCCCATGGCCTTATAGCTGACGCTTCCACGGTAGTATCCCCATCTGATGCACGCGATCCTCGCGCTAGGAGCTACTCACTACTCCCTCATCTCGCCTGATGGATCGGAGTTCTCCTCCACGGCGATCATCCACAGAGGCAAAGCACTGAAAGCGTTATCGGCAGCGATTGGAAAAGGCCCAGAATGCACAACAACTGACATGGACATCATCCTGGCCACGTGCTATGCTCTTGTATTCCAGGCATACCACATGCGAGACGGCCTAGTCGACTTTGCAGTCATGGTCCGCGGCTGCGGAGTCATCACCAACTGTATCATGGACAAATACAAAACAAGCCAGCTATTCCATCTCCAGACAGCGGAGGAGGCGGTCGACATAGCCTTGGGGCTCGCCAACGAACCCGTCAGCAGTCCCCTCCTGATCGACAGTCTTCTCGCGGCAATAGACAGATTACAGCCGCTCCTTCAAAGCACCATACATCGCCGCTTCTTTCGAGCGCTACGGGAGACGCTTGTAGCTCTCGCAGTCTCCAACCGCACAGCGTTTGTCAACCTCACCAAGATCTATGCGGTGTGGTACGAAGCCGAGAATCGGGAGTTTCTAATGTTCATCGCACCAGCGAACCACGTCTCGCGAGCTTTGTTCATGTATTTCCTTGTCATCGAGCTCACTATGCGGCCGGTTTATGTCGAGCTGCACAAGCGGAGTGGCACCACGTCCCTGGCTACTGACCCAGTCGTATATCAGTGGGCCGATGCCATATACCGCGAGCTACCGTCTTCGCTACGGGAGTTAATAGAGTTACCGATGCAAATCATAGCTGCAGATGAGAATACTACGAGAAGCAGTCGCGGTACGCCGTCTGACGTTGTAACTCCCAATCTGCATGCCCAGTTCTTTGACTTGGAGACGCTCGCGTGGTTAGGGTGCCCAGAGCCTGGAGGCGTTCAGGTGTTGGAATGAACTCATTGACACCCTGGTACGAGAGCAGTACATGTCATGTCATCTATTAACAGCTTTTGTAAGACAAATAGCGCAATAATCACAATCAAATTCATAGACATCATTGCATAGGGATGTTTGCATTGCCAGTTGCCCTCCGTTTAACCCAAAGCATCGATCTAAAAAATCCCGTCCCTGTCGGCCTTGCCCCATATCTTCAAGCTAGAGATTGCTCTTCGGTGTTTCGTAGTCCTGACGACTTGCGCAGAGAGATCTCCTCTCCCTCCAGCCCAGACTTTGCCAACCATCGCGCCGGATGGAACCAGGCCAAGACCAACAAAGCGATAAGCATGGGAACAGCCTCGAGCGCATACAACGGCCATTCATGCGTAAACGTGTACGAATCAATGCCAAAGGCAAATTCAAACACACGATAGATAGAGCGGAGCTTCTACCGTCAGCAATATCCTTCCTTGCGAAATGTTAAGCAGTACTCACCATGATACAGAATCCAGCAATATAAATCCCCCTCATGACCATTTGAACCCCATGAGCCAACTGGTAACCCTCCACCGTCGCCCTCCAATGAAACCAGACCATAATAACCAGGTACGCCGCAAACGTGACAACCTGCAACACCAACCCCCCAATCAACACCCCAATCCCCGCGTCCTTGGTCGACCCCTTCCAGCTCCCCGAGGAGGCAATCCCACTCCCAGACCCCTGTGTCAGGACCGCAAGGATATCCAATGACAAAAACACCCACGGCAGCCATCTACCCGAACCCCCGCGGAGAAAGTTCGCGGGCTTCTTGGCACTCCCATCCGCCGAGCTAGCCTCCAACTTTCCAAGAAGCATGTAGAGACTCGCGCAGACAAAGACCGGGGCGATGACAATCAGGGTGTTGGAGACGGCGTACAGTGAGATATCCGCTGGTTGCTTGACGCTGGCGCAGCGGAGCGCATACCCCACTACTTCAAGCGCGGCACCGACGACCGCCGGGATGAAGTATTTGGTCCGTTGGGTTTGGGCTTTCCGGGGGAAGATGAATGTCATGTATGACTGGTAGAGGAGTGGGATGATGTAGATAATGGTGAAGAGGACGGATGCCCCGAGGGAGGGATTGTAGAAGTAGATGTTATCCTTGTCTGAGGCCATGGCGTATGAAGTAGACGACGGAGGAAAGATCGGAGAAGATTGAATTAGGTGACGATTGTAAGAGCCTTGCAGTGAGCGTTGATGTTATTCCTCAGAGACGTCTATGGGACAGGGAATAGGAGTTATATAGTCGAGATCTGGCATCATTTACCCTTGCGTGCTCTATTCAAATGCCATAGTAAATTCTGCTGCCTTGAAAATTCTAATTCAGTGGTTCAATACCCGTACTCGCACTCGCATCCGGACTCATTCATCTCCATCCAGATGATTGCGCTCCCTGCTGCGCTAGACTTCATGCTTAACCAGCAGGGAAATACGAGAGATGCGAAAATGCGAGAAACCGTAATATACCAGCCAAGATCGGTTTAGCTGTATTAATTAGCATGTAATGATTGGCTACGGACAAATAAGCTCGTCCCGCTATGTCAAACCGAGTCTGCGGTATCTCTTGGCATACCGCAAGGGTCCTCCCTATTTTTAGTCCACTGAGCAACAGTACTTAGTGCTTTGGGCTGGCCTTGTGTTAGGCAGAAGAATCTTTCGCCTCATCTAGCATGCTTGTGTCAATTTAGGGGGTTATACCAAGAATTGCCCGGACCTCACGACCCGCACAAATTGGTCTTATTTCCATGTCTCCACCGTGGATAGCACTATGGGGAGAACAGGATCAGCGAGTTCGTTACAATGGCTTAGCTATCTAGAGAGTACAAGGTGGTACATGTGGGTGACTACAGGTCAGCCGACCTTTCGGAAAAGTTCGGCTAGTGCCAAGATAGCTGACACAGTGAATGAGACAACCCTAGATCACATGACTAATCTCCACTTTAAAGGTCGGCTGACCTCCTTACAGTAACTTACCTTCTTACACATCTCTCATCTCTCCCCCCGGCACCCCCTTTTATTTTTTTTTTTTCGATCAACTAGTTGATAATTAGTTGTGGATTGATCATTACCCTCCCTACCTCTTTCTCTCACTCCCTCCTATTACCTTAAAGGTAGGTTTTCTACTTCAGAATACTCTCACCTTCATCTCACCTTTATCTCATTCCGGCGACACACCTAGTTCCTAACTAGTTAGGAACTAGTTGGTGACTCTTACTATCACCTCACCTTTATCTCACAATTCTGGCCGACAACTAGTTTATAACTAGTTAAGATCTAGTTACATATCATTGATATTCTTTTACTAACTAGTTTATAACTAGTTCGCATTCACAATGACCTTTGTGAAAAAATCAGTAAGTACTACTCTGACTGTTCAACTAGTTCTAAACTAGTTAGAATGCTAACTAAGCTATAGGAGGCATATCTACAGTACCTTGAACTCGGTGCTGAGGGGCTGACCCTCCCTCCATTTGCTGAAAATGTAAGTCAAGTACCTGACTAGTTACCAACTAGTTACTAACTAGTGGACAGGCCATGGGATACTTAGTGGTCTACCCCGGAGAGGTCTATTGCAGAGCACCTGGATGCCCCAAGGCTAAGGTATGTATTTCTTCTACATTCCTAATGAACTAGTCCTAGACTAGTTGCTAACTAGTTCTATTAGGAGGCGTACTCCAGCCTTAATAATCTCAAGAAGCATATTCAGAGTGCACACAGCAAAACGTATACTGTTCATACCACCAGCGGAGGAGCTCCAACCATCAAGGAGCAGCAGGAGGCTATCGGTAAGTCCCTATCTAACTAGTTTATAACTAGTCGCTGACTGGTTACAGAGTGGTACCAGAAGCTTCTTGAGGAGGAGGAGAAACCAGAGCTGCCTGCTCTCCCCTTGAAGAAAGATGGCACTGTAAGTACCTCCTATTAATAAATCCCTAACTAGTTCAGGACTAGTTGCTAACTAGTTAGGTTCATATTAAGAATATGAAAGAAATGGTCAAGGGCATGGGCGTGAGTGTTCCTTGTGGTGAATGCAAGAAGAGGAAGAAGACTCGAAGTAAGTTCTTACTCTTATTAACTAGTTCATAACCAGTCACTAACTAGTTCTTAGCTTGCTGTTCCTCAAACAGCCAGGAATGGTGTGAGAATTTCGATTACTTTGCCAAGAAGGATGACAAGGGCAAGGCCAAGGAGCTAGAGGAGAGCGAGGAGGAGAGTGAGGAGGAAGAATCAGATGATGGTAACTAGTTGTGAACTAGTTTTGAACTAGTTGGTGGGAACTTCTCTTTGTTTTTTTAAAGGTGTTGTAACTAGGTAAGCCTAGTTACTGGCGTTCTGGTGTGGGCTTTTTTTGAGAGGTGACTAGTTAATAACTGGCTCTTAACTAGTCTAGCCTACTACTGGTTTGGAATGTAAACATCCTTTTGCTACTTCTAAATCTAAACTTATGTTTCCTAAGCTATATATATATGTAAGGTGTAGATAATATATAATAAGAGTAACTAGTTTATAACTAGTTATAGCCTAGTTAATAAGTTATGAACTAGCTAATATATATATTTACTATAAAATTATGAACTAGTTCTTAACTAGTTTATACCTACCCTATGCAAGGACTAGAGAATAATTATTATAAGTATATATAATCTATTGGACTAGTTCCTAACTAGTTAAGAACGAGTACCAGGCTGTTCCTGGCCTGAAATAGCAACCTCTTTTTGCCGGATCTGAACCTGGAGTAATCTTTCTCTAAGCTCAACACGATTTGCCTCTAGCTGAATCTGTCTCTCTTCAAGCTGAAGACGCCTTTCAAGCTGTTGAAGCTTACGTTCTTCAACCTCTAACTGAGCCTGTTGTATCTGTAAATTCTGGACTTGTAAATTAGAAGTAGCTGTTCGCTGTAGTAGCCTAGATAGAAAGGCAACTAGTTAGTAACTAGTCTGGAACTAGTTAAGGTAGGGACTTACGGTGATTGTGTACTTCTAGAATATGTTAGTAAGTATTAGTAATAGTATCTCTATAAAACTCACCTTGGTGGACTTGATGATGGGATACCCAGGTAAGGAGTTGGAGATCTAAGAAAGGTTAAAATGGACTAGTTGCCAACTAGTTAGTGACTAGTTACTAAACATACTCAGATGGAGACTCGGAATATAGCCTAAGATTAGAAAGATTAGTGAGAGTACTTTATAGTATAGGAAGGATAGATTTATATACCTTCTTGGGGTTGGTCGACGCGGTATTTGTGGAGTTGATGTTCTAGAGAAGTTAGAAAAGATATAAGCTAACTAGTTCAGAACTAGTTCAGAACTAGATATACTTACCGTGATCTTGAACGTGGGGTTGGTGTTCTACTATAAGAGCTACCTCTTCTTCCTCTGCGAGAGCGTATTCCACCAGAGGAGTTTGACTCAAAGAGAATATTATCAKGATCTCTAATATCCCCTTCATTCCGGCGCTTCAGCTTCCGACTGTCTAGGGGATGTTAGTAACTAGTTAGTAACTAGTTGGGGACTAGTCCATACTCTGCCGGGTGACATTGTTCCAGTATCGTGTTGCTATATCATCTGATCGATATGAATGATGGGTACCATAGGCCATTCGTGCCTGATACTGATCAATATCACGTTGATCAAGGATATACGATCTAATATAGTTAGTTAAGTATAATAAACTAGTTAGTAACTAGTTATAAACTAGTCTATAACTTACCCCTTCACTGCCCCTAATAGCGACTCATGAACCCCCATAAAATAAGATTTATAGTGGCTCTGCTCAACAGCATTAGTAATATTTCTAATCTGTTGAAAGAACTCAGGTGGCATTAATGAGCAGGCTTTATTTAAGCCAGCTGCAATAACATGATGGCGCTTGTGCTCAGCCCAAGCTGCAATCTCTGGTGATTCATGCTCTGGAACTAGTTAGTAACTAGTTCTATATAACTAGTTTAGAACTAGTTCTCACCTTGAAGAAGTTCAATAAGCTGATAGTATTCAGCTTCTGTTTCACAATCAAGAAGGCTTCTCATCCTTGTAAAGGTAGTATAAGAAGGATCCCCTGGCTCATTCATATCTCCTGCTATTCCAAGAAGTTTTGAAATAGTTCGTAGAAAGTGCACACGACAGAGAATTAAAATATTCTTTAATTGCCATTGCCAGGGTCGGTGAGCATTATCAATAGAGGCAAGGTAACGCCCAAGACCTAGGATCTATTAGTAACTAGTTGATAACTAGTTCAGGACTAGTTAGGCCTACCTGACATCTGCTTCCCACACATATCAACCACAATACCCTTAAACCCACTATTATGAAGATAGTGGAAGTTTACTGGCTTCTGGGTGATTTCACCTATTAAGCTAAAGACTTGTTCAAATAAAAGTTGATAGCTTTGGGCTGTTTCCTGGTTGATAAACACCCGCAAGAGTGTAAGAACTTACTAGTTAGTAACTGGTTGATGACTAGTTAGGAACTAGTCTACTTACTTTTTCCATGTTCAGGAAGAAAGGTTGCAAAGATCACCTCATTAAACTCTCCCTTAATCCTTTTATAGGACATATCGATTTCAAAGCTGTCAAGAGATCTTAGGATCTGAATCTGCTGATCAAATCCACAGATAATCATGGTACAATCATCCTGGGTATAGACCCTCCGGATATAATTCTAGCAACTAGTTAATAACTAGTGCATAACTAGTTCAGGACTAGTTGCCTACCTTAATCTCTGGCCTGCGATCCATTTCATATAGAATACCATTGATATTCCGACCACAAGGATAAAGAAGGGCTTTTTCCTTCGCAATAATAGCTGCAAATCGGTCCTGATTTACAAAGCTATTATGAATTTGAGAAAGGGTCTGGCCATTGTACTGCTGACAGAACTGCAAAAGTGAAGGGCTCCGAAGAAAGGTACCTATAACTAGTTAGTAACTAGTCCCCATTTTTATACCTATTTTAAAGTAAACTAGTTCATAACTAGTAGGTAACTAGTTAACTTACTTAAAGTAAGATCTGGATTCTGCATTTGCCTKATCAGATCCAGAATCTCATCCATAATAAGCTGTGGTGGCTTATTTGGTGGAGGTGGTGGATGAGTATGAATACCAGTTGAGAGAAAGATAGC